AAAGGAATAGTAATTAGTGGCTACATAGCATCTGAAAATGTGTAAAGTGCTTTCTTAAAATGTGAGTTAGTATCTTCACAGAGGAGGATACTGAGTGTCCCAGCGGCCGGGGATCACAGGAGAGTAGGAAGGGTCGTTCTGCTCAGCAGTTTCTGGACTGTAGTCCTAGCCACAGCACTTTTGTGGAGATAAGATTGAATCCTCCACCCCTCCCTGCCTTGAGAATTCTGGTCTTTCCTCTCCCCCAGCTGTCACGCATTGGGCTCTGTGGACAGGGGGCTCAGACTGGGTTGTGTGTGCATAATGTGTGTAAGGGAGTGCCCTTGGGAGCTACAGCAGTGGAGGGAAGACAGGAAAGCAGGAGTCAAGCTGCCATGCAGGCTCACGAAACCGGGAGCTTTAAGGCTGAAGTAGCACGCATCACAACCGAATGGCTAAATATAACCAATGTTTATTGTCCCAAGGTCTCTATGGGTCAGAAATTCTGTGACAGTATAGCTGGGTGGTCTTCACTGAGGGTCTCATGAGGTTCTAGTCAAGATGTTGGTTGAGTTACCTTCGTCTGAAGGCTTGACTGGAGCTGTAGAATCCGCTCCCAAAACGGGTCCCTCGCAGGGCCGTTGGCAGGAGGCTTCAGCTCTTTGCCAAGTAGACTGCTCTGTAGAGAGCGTGGAGGTTGCCCTCACACTGTGAGCCCTGGGGGTTCACCAGAACAAGGGGTCCGAGCGAGCAGGAGGAAGCCCCAGAGCTGCACTGGCAATTCTCAACCCTTTTCTTCTCGTGAAATCGCTCTCAGAGGCACATAAACTAGTAACTCAAATTCGGCAGCATACCAAAACATTTTTTTTTCCAATCTGACAAAAAAAAAAATACTGGCATCGTAGGCATAATTTTGATTCATTCACACCAGACGGCTATCATTGTGTTGTTAGCTGTTGTCATATTTTTATTTGACAATCTAAGGGAAAACGTGGCATGTTTTAAAAATTCTGGCGGTGCACCGGTTGAAATTCTCTGTGCTCCACTTACTTCCACTTCCAGCTCATTTTCCTAGATTCAGTTCACTAAGTGCCGCCCCAACTCTGGGCAGGGAACAAGGCCTCACCTCTGGGAAAAAAGAGTGTGAAAGAATCTGTGCCCTTATTTTCAAATCAACTCACTTTCTACTTTTTAACAACACCATTCAAAAATAAGACAAGATACATCTGCTATTGAAATCCTCAAGTAGATTGCATCCATCTGAAATATCTTGAAATACATGCTGTATTAATTTTTTTCTTTCAGAATCAGTTCCCTCTGGTGTTGGGAGTTCACGTACTCTGATGTCCCTCATCTTCAAAGCAAAACTCTGCTCTGACCCATTTCTCCTCTTCGTGGCCAAGATTCTTGAACGATTTGACTGTACACTGTTTCCCTCCTGTCACCTCCCATTTACTACTCCTCACGCAGTATCATTTGGTGCTCCCCCTAAACTGATTTTTCGAAGGCCACCAACAGCTTCCCTATTGCCAAATCCAGTGGATACTTTTCTGTCTTCACTTGTGCCACCTCCAAGCGCATTCAACACAATCGACCACTCCATTCTCCTTGAAACGCTTGGTTTCCTAGACATTGCCCTGCCCCCTTTCCCCCTGCAGTCTCCGCATCCCCCACCGCACTCCCTGGCCTCCGCAGTCTCTTCTGCTGGCTTCTCTGAATGAGTGTTGCAGCGCCAGTGTTCTGGCCTCCTTGCTTTGCACTCTCCTGCTGGAATCTTATTACTGGTCCCAGTGTGTATGTATGTCTGTTTGCTTATGTTGATATATTCCCCATTTACGTCTCCAGTTTAAATCTTTGCTCCAATTTCCAGACCCTGTGTCACCAGTGTGATGGATATTTCTACTTGGCTCGTCACACTTCAGATTTAATTTATCCACCAGGTTATTTAAGCCAGATCTGGGAGTCATTCTTAATTTTTCCCTTTCCTTTATCTCCCATTTCCAGTCTATCAACAATTCCCTAGCTATTCTTTCTCCACAATATATGTCGTGGATTCCCCCACTTCTCTGTCATTACCAGTACCTTCTTCCAGACTGTCATCCACTCTCACTTCAGTATTGGCATAGCCTGCCTGGTCCCCCCACTCCCACTCTTGCGTTGCTGCAGAGACCAGATGAGAGGTGGTGAGTAGACATGACCTGATCGTAGTACTGATCAGTAAGAACAGGACTAACACGCCAACGGAGAAATGGGCTAAGGCTGCAAACAGTTCACGGAAAAGGAAATAACGAAAGCTTTTAAATTTGGGAAAGATGTTCAGCCTCGTGCTAATAAGAGTAATACAAATTAAAGTAACAATGAGATGCCAGTTTGTATCTACAAATTGACACTTATTTATTGCTGGTAGGAATGTAAATTACCACAGATATCTTTGAAGGGTTTTTGGGTAGAATCCGCCAGATAAAAAGTGCACATATCTCTTCACCCAGCATAAATTCTAGGGATTTCTGTTACTTGCACTTGTGTGCAAAGAAGTGTTTATGAGCACATTTCGCTGTTGTTTATTGTACAGAAATGTTGGAAACAACTAAATAGCCACCATAACAAGCTAATTGAATGCATTCTGGTAACAGGCAAATGAGCACAGCATGGATATTATTTGTGTCTTGAATGCATTCTTCTCTGTTCACACAGCCCTATGTGTGGGTCTCAGCTACACTGTCTCCTTCCTTAAGAGAGAAGCCTGCTCTGACTGACCACTCTTTCTAAAGCAGATCCCTTCTTCTGTCTTTCACTTGCCATATAATTCAGTTATTTTGTTAGTTTGCCTGTATGTTTGGCTCCCTCTCCCTTTGGCATATAAGCTCCGAAAGGGCAATCTGTGTATTTTTCCATTGCTACGTCCCCAGCATTTAGTGTGGTGTGTGGTGCTTGGATTAATTGAATGAGTGACAAAAAATTATTGCCTGTTGGATCTCCAGTAAAAGTCCACATGTCATCCTTACTGGTGAAGCACTAAAAGGAATGGGAGCATCTTTTGTTATAACAATTAGTCTTTTGTTCATAGTTTCTGAAATAGCTCCAGGACTAAAAGGGAAAAGGTGTGTCTTTGTTATTTTTATCAGGCCTCTTTTAACCACACCTGATTTGAGTTAATCAGGTGACTTTTGGAAAGCCCTTCTAAGGGTGGCAGCTGGTGCCAGGGAAGCAGCCATGTGATTAGAAGTTTGGAACTTCAGCCCCAGACCTCTAGGTGAGCTAAGACAGCAACTAGAGATTGAGTTCAATCGCCAAGGCCAATGATTTTTTTTAAAAAGATTTTATGTATTTTAGAGAGAGGGAAAGAGAGGGCAGGAAGCATTGATGTTGTGCAAGAGAAACATCCATCAGCTGCCTCTCGCATGTCCCCAGTTGAGGACCGGCCCACCACCCAGGCATGTGTCCTGATAAGGGGTCCGAGAGGTGACCCTCCTCGGTTTGTTCACCAGGGCCCAAGGCCAATGATCTAATCATTCCTGTGTGATGATAGGCATGATTACCCATCAAAAAGGATGGGATTCAGAGAGCCCCTAGGTTGGTGGATGCTGAGGGAGCTGGGCACACCCATAGAGGGCGTGGGAGCTTCTTCCCCTTCCCACCTACCTTGCTCTATGCACCTGGTTGTTCCTGAGTTGCATCCTTTTATAATAAAACAGTGGTTTATAAAGTAAAATGTTTTCCTTAGATCTGTGAGCTACTCTAGCAAATTACTGGAACCCGAGGAGATGGTTATGGGAACCTCTGCTTTGTTTAGCCAGTTGGTTGAAAGCACAAGTGACAACCTGGATTTGGCATTTGGCATCTGAAGAAGGGGCTGGGCAGTCTTGTGAGACTGAGCCCTTAACCTGTGGGATCTGATACTATATCCAGGTAGATAATGTCAGAATTGAGCTAAGTTACAGACGCTGTTGGGAAGGAGAAATTTTTCTTTCTTCCCTTCTAAGTTTCTTTGGCTGGTCTGATAAATTGATATAAGGCAGATTAATAATAGCAGGTAAGCAAAAGTTGAATACAATATATATACCTCCTGTGTGCATGAGCCAGACCCAGAAAAACCAAGGTTACAACTCCCTTGGAAATGGCCTAAGCCAGCACCTTAAGTATCATACTCAACTGAAGACAAAAGAAGATATTGGGGGAGGGGAGAGTCAGTTTTGGGAACCTTCAGGAAAAGAACACTGAGCAAGGGTAAGGTTGTTACACCAATTTGTCATTGCCCTCTTATTTTATTGATTGATTTGAATTTTCTGATAGAATCACCTTCCTGGTACAATGAGGGAGATGCCCTTACAAATGGAAATTTAACTTATACAGATAAATGTCTTTTATCTGTATAAGGGTAACTTCAGCTTGGTTTTCATGGCTTCTCTTAAGTCTGCTGTTTCCTTTTTTATTTTTGAGAGAGAGATTGATTAGCTATTATGCTTATTTATGCATTAATTGGTTGATTCTTGTACATGCTCAGACTGGAATCGAACCCACAACCTTGGCATATGGGGTGACGCTTTAACCAACTGAGCTACCCGGCCAGGGCTAAAGACTGCTGTTTCTTAAAAATAACCAGACTAAAATAATCCTGCATCAAAGAGACATATTTTGAGGTGGCAAGTTATGCTCCCCAAGGACAACCCTGATGGTATCACAGAATTTCTTGGTGTGTGGAGAACCCGCACATTTGGTGCCAGAAGTGGGGTGGTGGTATAGTAGAATATTGGGACTAGAGACTGTGTTTTCCTTTATAGCATTATGTCATTTATACCATTATTGAACATTATTCTAGAAGCATAACCAAAGCAATTAGACAAGAAAATTAGACAAGAAGTTTAAAATGCCAAAAAGGAAGAGGTGAAAATCATTATTAATGCAGTTGATGTGACTATTCACTTTGAGGGGAAAATACAAATTAATAGAAGAATAGTTATGGAGGAACCCATTGCTATTGACCTTGGCCAAAGTGATTTTGCTGTGTAGGAATTTTTTTTTCCTGTGTGGAAATTTGGAAGCTGGCCAGTAGTAAATTAGGTCCAGTGAGATGACACTAGAGCAGTACTATGACCCCAACTTATTCTTTGGCTGCATGATGTTTGTGTGGATAGCAAGATCTGAATGCAAAACACTGCTGTCGGACCCAGAGCGATGAATATTACGCACACATTAGCTTGTAGGTATTTTTAGGTTAACGTTTTAACTTTAAAAAAATTTGCAAGAATAATATATGTCCTTTACTCAAATGCACCTCATTGTGCCCCATTTGATTTACCTAGTTTTCTAATTCTATTTATCTCTGTTTATACATACAGTATATAATTCGTTTTGTTCTGAAACACTTAGGAGTGAATTGAAGCCATGGTGCCTCTTGATACCCAAAATACTTCAGTGTGTATTTTCTAAGAACAACGAGTTCTCTATAACTGTGGTAGGCAGTTAGACGTAGGCAGAGCAAGGACAATAGGCCATGTACAGAAGGGTCACCAGGGTGTTAAGTCCCAGGTGCCTAGCATCAGGCAAAACTGGGAAAACAAGGACCTTGCCCCCAGGGAAACTTTTCCTCTGCTCTGCGTAACTCTGATCATGTGGGTTAGACCCCTCTAAACAAGGAGGCCAGAAAATAGCCCTAAAGCATTAAGTCCCCAGGACAATGAGGTTCTAACTCATATCAGATACATCTAGGCCTCAGTTGTGTTCAGCTCCAGGCCCAGAAAAGCAGCAAAACCAGACAAGTGACACAGTGTCCGACCTCAGGACCAGCCGCATTGACTAATGACCCCCTGCCCTTGTGCAATCAGTGGAGACCACCAACCTTAAAGGACACACCTGGAAAGCTGGTAAATATTCTGTTGGGATCCTCCCCTGAGACCTGCAGGTAAATACCCTGAAGACAGAGGACTCGGTGGTCTCTCTCTCCCTGCAGCACCCCTGCCTTTTCCCTCCCACTCTTAGTCCATGCCTCCCCACCCCCAGCACACCACGTGGAGTTACCTTTATTCTTTTCTTTCTTAAGCTCCAAGGGCCCTTCTTTCTCCTCTGTAACTTGTTTCCTGAGCCCATTCCTTCTACAGCTCAATTCTACATCTGTGACTTTTAAACTTTCTTTTACAGTTTGAGGCTTGGCTCTGAATTCTTTCTTAGCCAGAACTCAAATGCTCAGGTTGTTGAACTGAAGTCTGGTCCATTTCTTGCCGCCAACATAACCAATACCAAAATCAGGAAATTGGCCAAGAATCTAAGACTAATCTGTGGTGTTCAGATTTTATCTGTCGTCCCAGTAATGTCTTATATAGCTGCTTTTCTCCTGGACCAGCATTTACCCCAGGACCACCCATGGAAGTTAGTTATCAAGCCTCTTCTTCATGTTTAATCTAGAAAGAATTTCCTCAGGCTTGAGATTTCTTGACCTTTAAGATTTTGATCAGTTAGTTTGTAAAACAGACCCGATTTTTATTTGTCTGATGTTTCCTCATGGTTACATTGAGATTATAAACGTAGGGCAGGAGCACTACAGAAGCAGTGATGTGTTCTTCTGTGTACATGATGTAGATTTGTCTCCATATTGTGGTGATAGATCTGACCTGTTGGTGTAGATGGTATTTTCCAGGTTTCTCATGCAGTGTCATTTTTCTCTTTGTAATGAAAAAATAATCTGTGGGGTGATGCTTTGAGACTAAATACTTTATTTCTCATCACATTTTTACTCCCTGGTTTAAGCATCCATTGATGGTTTTCTAACTCCATCATTCTTCTATATTTACAAGCGGCATCCTACTGTAAGAAGAGATTTCCTTCTTGTACTTGCTTGTTTACATTCAAATGAAGTCACTGGTTGTTTTTAACACATTTAATGAGTAATGATCCATTGATATATGATAGGTTTTTTACCCTAATTGATTCTTGCATTAAGAGTGCAGTCACATAGAGAAGTTCAGTTCATTTCTTCCCAAGGTTTTAGTTAAGCCATCTTACATACTTGTTACCAAAACTCTCACACACTCTAAAAGATTTTTCCACAAAGTCTTCTCAGACTAAAGTATACTTGATTTCTTTCCTTATGGGCTTGATCTAGTCCTTACTTACCTCTATTACTATTTATTAATATAATATTATAGGTGGCATAGTCTCATGTTTGCAAGTTCATGGGTGGGCCCACATGTGTTGCATTAACTCAGATATTACAGATTAACTGAGGGCATCTTGGTTCATAGTTCTAAAACAGGTCGTGTCATTTAGGGATTAGAAGTTCCTGTGTCCACCAACGGCAAATTTCATAAACAACGTTAACTGCCCTGGGAATCCAGAAATTTGAATTTAATTATCTTCAGGCCTAACAGTAGAAACTTTGCCTTGGCAAAAGAGAGAGGTCCAAAGAGTAAGGACCTTTTCCTTCCTTCCCCCAATTTAGACAGGAGTCAGCACTGTAGTTGCAGGAAAGAGCAGGACTGTAGCATCTCACCCACTGGAAGTCAGATCCCTACCACAGTCTTGGGATGTTGTCTCTAGTTTAATCTATTCAGCAAGTACCTATTCAGGGTCTAGTATGTGTCATACAGCTGGAACCAGGCAGAGTCCCTGCCCTCAAGGCTAGCATTCTAGTGGGACAGATAGACATCAGAGAAACAAATGGGATAATATATCAGCTGGTGCTGAATGCTGTGGGTAGAAATTAAGAAAGATAAGGGAGATAGATACTGACGGGAGAAGGGGTTTGGGGTTGCTTTAAAAGAAAAGTGAATGGAGACCTAAAGGAAGCCATAGGAGGGAGGAGAGAGAAGAAATCAGGGAGAGCCCTTAACCAACTGGAGCTGGGAGAGTGCTTGGCGTGCCTTAGGCTGAGCTTTGTTTAGAGATAGTAAAGATGAAAGGTGAACAAAGGAGAAGTAGTTTGTGAGTTAGGAGACAAGACAGAAAGTACTTGGATGCCAAGTGAACTACCTGTAGTTTCCAGGAGGGGGAGTAAGTAAATAAGTGAATGTTGTTGAAGGGTCAAGAAAGGTGAGGATGAACTGGCCAACCAGGGGAGACCCTGATGAGCTTTGCAGCAGAGTCACACCATGGTGGGGCCACAGTCCTTGCTGGAATAGGTTCCAGAGAGAATGCACGCTCACTCCAGATAACTGGAGGATTTTGCAAAAAATGGGAAGGGCTCTAAAGAGAAATGGAAGACCCAGGGAGGATTTTAAAGACGGGCGGTGTTAGCCTGTGTTAATAGGCTAATGATGGGAAACAACTGTTGGTGCAGAAAGGCGGGTAAAGGAGAGGAAGCGATGTTCTTGAGCACAGGAGCTCCTTGTAATCTGGTGCCTGCATGGACTGGCCTGTCAAGATTGAGTATATGTCATAGAGTTAGGTACATTAAACAGAGAGGCGAGGAGGAAGCAAGTGGGCCACCAGCATATCAGCTTCCTTTTCTTGCTCTGCTTTGATTTCTCCTTGCTTCTGGCATCTGTGGGTTTTCATTTCCTTGACCTTCACATGTTTTTTTGATCAGATTAACATTTCTGTGTTTTCCAGCGGGTGGTGGTGGTACTGTCCTTTGAGTTAGTCCAGTGTGCTATGTCTCTGGAAGAGAGCAAGTAAAAACAGATCCTTTGAAAGGTTTTGAGAAGCCTTAGTTAAGTTAAAGGGGAACAAATTTTACAATGATTTTAATAGCACAGTTCAAAGTGTCAGTATATATAGTATATGTTGAATGGTAACTATTTGAATGTTTACATATACAAATTCTCTAACCTTTCAATTATTTAAGGCTCTTCAAGTAAATTAAAAGGTGGAAGGACTCATCTGGGTAAATAAATAAGCATAGTTGAAAATATCAATGGAGACGTTAGTTTGAGCTTTGTTGGTAACTTTATTTTCTTGGAATAAAAAACCTATTTACCCTTTTCCTGTGTATAAAAGAAATACACATTTGCACAAAATATTCAAACAGCCCAGAAATGTATAACATGACATCAGCTCTTTTGAAACACCCTGCCCCCAGCTGCTCCCAGCTTTCAGACAGCCACAATGAACACTTTGTAAGACTTTCCAGATTTTTCTATGTGCATGTGATTAATGTTTGCTTCTAAATTGGCTGTTTGATCTATTTTTAATAGAAAACTAAATAAAAACTGCAGACAACAGTACCTTCCAAACCTAATAAAGTTTACAAGTTTAGGGGCCTTATGTAATTAATTAATTAATTTAATATATTTTATTGATTATGCCATTACAGTTGTTCTATTTCCCCCCTTCATTCCCCTCCACCCTGCACACTCCCCTCCCCTTTTAGTTTATGACCATGTGTCTCAAGTTCTTTAGATTCTATATTTCCCATACTATTCTTGCCCTCCCCCCTATTTTCTACCTACCATCTATGCTACTTATTTTCTGTACCTTCTCCCCCCCTTCTCCTTCTCCCACTCCCCTGTTGCTAACCCTCCATGTGATTTTCATTTCTATGGTTCTGCTCCTGATCTAGCTGTCCTCTTAGTTTGCTTTTGTTTTAGGTGTGGTTCTTAATAACTGTGAGTTTGCTGTCCTTTCACTGTTCATCTTTTTTATCTTCTTTTTCTTAGGTAAGTCCCTTTAACATTGCATATAATAAGGGCTCGGTGATGATGAACTCCTTGAATTTGATCTTATCTGAGAAGCACTTTATCTGTCCTTCCATTCTAAATGAAAGCTTTGCTGGATAGATCAATCTTGGATGTAGGTCTTTGGATTTCATGAGTTGGAATACTTCTTTCCAGCCTCTTCTAGCCTGTAAGGTCTCTTTGGAGAAATCAGCTGACAGTCTGATGGAAACTCCTTTGTAGGTGACTGTCCCCTTCTCTCTTGCTGCTTCTAGGATTCTCTCCATTTTCATCTTGACTAATGTAATGATGATGTGCCTTGGTGTGTTCCTTTTTGGGTCCAACTTCTTTGGGACTCTCTGAGCTTCCTGGATTTCCTGGAAGTCTATTTTCTTTGCCAGAATGGGGAAGTTCTCCTTTATTAGTTGTTCAAATAAGTTTTCCACTGGTGGCTGTTCCTCTTCCCCTTCTGGTACCCCTATAATTCGGATATTGCAGCGTTTAAAGATGTCCTGGAGGTTCCTAAGCCTCTCCTCATTTTTTTTGAATTCTTGTTTCTTCATTCTTTTCTGTTTGGTCATTTTTTTCCTCTTTCTGGTCCACTCCTTTGATTTGAGTCCCAGTTTCCTTTCCATCACTATTGGTTTCCTGTGTATTTCCCTTCATTTCAATTAGTTTAGCCTTCATATGTTCCTCTAATTTATGACTAAAATGAACCAGCTCTGTGAGCATCCTGATCCCCATTGTTTTGAACTGTGCATCTGAAAGTTTGGCTATTTCTTCATTGCTTAGATTTATCGGCTCTATGGCTCTGAGTTGTTCTTGATCCATGTTTTGATCTGTTGGGGCCTGTTACATATGAGGGGCGGAGCCTTAGATGTTCACCAGGGTGGGACCACCCAGGTCGCTAGTTTGTGAGGCTGTATGTGGGAGCGGGGTCAGAGAGGGACAATAGCAGTCCCCTCTGACGCTGGGGCCTGAGTGGTCCTTCTCACTGCTCCCTCCTTCACTGGTTTATCTGCGCACAAACGTGTGACCATGGTTAGCCCTCAGTGAGTCCACTGCCTGGCGCCCTCAGTGGGTCCACCGCTGCTACTCCACACCTGGGATCCGCCCATGGCTGCTGGCCCACCTGGGTCGCACGCCCGGGTCGGTCCAGTGGATCTTTCCTGCCCGACCCTGCTCTGCTGCTGGCTCTGCCCCTCTTACTGGTTTGGCTGAAGGGTTTGTTGTTGTCAGATTTCCATGTAGTTCAATTTTCTGTGGTTTGGCTGTGTTTTTGTTGCTAAAACTTTGTTGTTTTTAAACTTGGTTGTGCGAGAAGGCACAGTGCTTCCACCTACACCTCCATCTTGGCAGAAGTCCCTATTTACATGTAATTTAAATTCTACAGATCAGAGCATCCTATCTCACAGTGAATTCCTAAAAAGGACCAAACTCCAAACTGAGCTTTGTTTCAGAATATAACATTTCTTTTTTTAAAAAAATTTTATTCATTTATCTTTAGAGGGGAAGGGAAGTAGAGAGGGAGAGAAATATCAATGTGTGGCTGTTTCTTGTGTGTCCCCCGCTCAGTCCACTGAGCGACACCAGCTAGGGCCAGAATATGACATTTCTTTAATAATGAAATGTCAGCCTCAGCTTTCGGCTTGGGTGCTTTCATGATCCCTGAGCAGTAAGTACAATGTCGTTCTAAAGATTGTTTGACTTACTGGATGAAATATGCATTTCTACTTAGCACATTTTTTGGGTACTTTTATAGGACAATGAGGTATTAAGAGCTATGGGTCCCAGTTCCCAGCAGGAGGAAAATGAGCAAAGAGTATCATCAGCCCAGAAGGAAAAATCACTTCATCAGAAGAATGAAGATGAAAATAATATAGCAGATAAACCTGAGTGGGAGGCAGAAAAGACCACTGAGTCTAGAGAGGAGGTAAGCATGTCACAATCTCCCAGACTTACCATTTTGGCGTTAAGGTAGATTTTGTAAGGCTTTGTCAATTTGTGTTCAGAATGAATGCATTTTGTATGTAAGTGTGACCTGCTATAAGCAAATCTGATGTATGAAAAATACATGCTTTTGTTTTATTGTGGGAGTGGTTGTTTGGCTTACAAAGGAATCAGCCCATAGAATTAGGTATCTCTGATTAAACTGAAGATAGTGTGTGTGTGTGTGTGTGTGTGTGTGTGTGTGTGTGTGTACGTGTGTGTACACCTACACCCCTCCTGGAACTTGCTAGCAGGTTATGTTAGTTGCATTTGCCATGGCAAGGGATAAAGAGATGGCTGGCATCCTGCATCCAGGAATCCTCACCCAGACACACACAAGCAAATCACCCTCAGTACCAGCTGGGGCTTGGGCTCAAATCCTCAGTCTCCACTGGGCCATGCTCCATGGGCACCATTCTGTACTTCTGGCCAAGACCAAGGCCAGGCCCAATGGGGACAGCCTTCTTGACTCCTCTGTGTCTAACCACCCTCTTTGGTGGTAAGAATGGTATAGAAGGATGAATTCTAGGAGCCGGGCTAACAGGTTGGAATCTTCCTGCATCCTGTGCTTCCTCCTTTCATTTGGGCCATACTCTGATTTCTATTCAGCCCTGCTGAGGTCCCAGCGAACAAGCCTGGCTAACGCTCCAGAGATGGGCATGGAGGTTCCACAGACTTTAAACCACTTACCACTTCACCTGAAAGGTGAAACGTTGAGGGTCTTGTCCTGCTGGTTTTCTCAGCCATGATTGCCCCAGGTAGAGCTTGGGGCTGTGCCTCGAACACCCTCGGATGGAGGGTACTGTGCCTTGGACTTCTTCAGACAACCCATTGCTATGTCCTTGGCTGTGTAACATTTAATCGGAAAACAGCTTTGCTCTCTTTGCCCACCCTCCATTCCCAACCTTCCAGCCTGTTCTCGCCAGTTGAGGAGACCAAGGCCTTCCCTGTGCCTGGAGTGAAGTATCCGGGGTAGTCCTTGTGATTTCTAGATAATCAAATTAAAAGAAAAAACATTTGGGAGGAGGCAGTTCAGCCCACTTTCCCTAGAGCCTCAGTCACCTTTTTTGAGGGAGATGTTTTATCACAGTCTTATCACTTCACTGTTTACAGATTTATGCTGTTGATTCAGATTTCTCCTGGGTATGCCTTTGCCTTGACTCCCTCACTGGGCTTCCCAGAAAAGCAGGAACCTTGTGTTTTCTACTTCTCAGAATTACCTGAATTAACTCACTACTAGATACATAGTAGGCACTCATTAAATGCCAATAATGAAAAGAGAGGTGAAGTGGGGTGCATTCTTAGAAAATCTAAACTACAATTTAAAGTAGGACAAATACCAATTTGGACAAGACTTCCCAGAAACACATTAATCACTCAAAGCAAGGCATTTGTGCCTCAGTCCTTGAACTTGGGCTTGGCTGCTCATTTGCACCTCCAAGTTCCGGATCTGTGCATCTTGTTAGGTTAGCATCCACTTACTCTTCTACTGAGATGTGGTGCTCTTACAGTTTGTTGAAGTAGTACTTATTTCCATTCTTTCTGGTGATAATCCTGGGTGATAACCAGGGCAAATGACATAATTTGGTATTTAACAGCGCCTTCCACTGCAGACTTAGACTGCTGGCTATTAATGGAAACTAAATACACTATATGTAAATTAACTGGCCTGAAGAGAATTCCTTCTCGCTATAGACAAATTGAGTTTATATTAATGTTTTGCTTTTAAAAGATAGGTCTTATAAAGTTAAATGTGTGTGCATGGCATTCTTTGAATATTCCTAGTCATCTCTGTTCAAAATGAAATGAATTCTTGATCCAAAATGGAACTGTATTTGTATTTTATGGTAAGATTTAGAAAAGTCTGACTTAAAAAAAAAAGAAGACTGACCACTTCCTCCCAAATGAAATCTAACTGAAAGTATGGAGTATGTCTTTTGGATTATTTGGAAGAATAGCTGGATAGTCCATTTCTGTGGAAGATTTTTACCCAGCTGAAGAGGAAAAATAAAGCAGTTAGATTTTGAAATGGATTAACCAATTTCTGTGAAAACAAGTGTCTCAAAAATGGTTCCATATAATTTAAATGTGGTAGACAGAACTCTGCTGCTTAATGAATTCATATAGAATGATGTATGCTCTACATCATTCTACTGAAGGAACCCAAAGCCAGATACAGCTTCTGGTCCACACTACCATTATTATCAGGAACCCTGAGCCAAGAAGGCGAAGTTTAGAAAATGATATAAAAATTGGTCCTTGCAGCCCTGGCTGGTGTGGCTCAGTGGACTGAGTGCCCATCTGTGAACCCGGAAGGTCACAGGTTTAATTCCTGGTCAGAGCACAAGCCTGGGTTGTGGGCCAGGTTCCCAGTTGGGGGCACATTGAGAGGCAATGAATCGATGTTTCTTCCCTTTTCTTTCTCCTTCCCTCTCCTCCTTCTCTAAAAAAATAAATAAAATCTTTAAAAAAGAATACTGATCCTTGCAGAGGAAAAACAGAAAACTGCCTTATAGTTAGTTGGTGACCCTTGATATGTGGGATCCTTACAGAAATAGCTGTCAACGAAGATGAACTCTCTGATAGTCCCAGGAGAGATCAGAAAGCATATAGAAGTAATTTTTGAAGTTTATGGCAAAATGTTTCCAAAACTAAAATGATGTTATGACTCAGAGGAAAGGAATATAGAATCCCAAGCCGACTAAATACAAAGTCCCAAACATATCAAAGTGAAATGGCCAGACAGCAAAGAATAAAAAAGTCTTTAATTATCAGAGGAAAAAAAGAGAATTGGCTATGAAAGACAGTTTGCAAACAAATCAATAGTAATAAATGCCTGAGGACAAAGTACTGAGGGGAAACATTAAACCTGATAATCTTGCCAAATAAATTAGCATTTAAACATGTGAGCAAAATAATTCCAGGTTATGAAAACTAAGAGTTTACTACTTGCAGCCTATCCAAAAAGAGCTATTAAAGGAGGTATTTCAGCAGGAAAAGAACTGAACCTTGAAGGCAGGTGATGCAACGGTGAGTAAAGATGTTATTAGTAAAACATTTTAGTACATCTAAATACATATTTGATGGTACAGTTAGATAATTTTGTAGCAAGTTTGGAGGGTCAGCTGTGGAGGAGCAAAATAAGATGAAACTAACAATTCTAGGCAAAAATTATATGAAGGATAGGGCAGGAATGGGGAGGGGTTTCAAGTTGAAGGCTTTCATTAAGGAAGGATATGTGAGAATATTGAGTACCTAAAAGAGGGGTATAAAAACCCAACATGGAGGTAAGACCTGGTTGTCCTTTCAAGATAAAACCTAAAGTCCCAGGCAACCACTTCAGTGTTTTAATGAGTGGTGCACCTTTTGTGTTTTTCTAGAGACATCTAAATGGAACTGACACATCTTTCTCTCTCGAAGACTTACTTCAGTTGCTTTCCTCACAGTCTGAAAATTCACTGGAGGTAACTGGTCTGATTTACTTTAAAAATAGACATACCCTACTATCAACTAACACTGTACTTCACTCTAGCTATTTTTTTTTTCCTTTCCCTTCGTTAAGAGAGGGAGAGAAACATAAATGTGTGGTTGCTTCTCACACCCCCTACTAGGGACCTGGCACTCAATCCACCGAGCCACACTAGCCAGGGCCACTATAGCCGTTATTATCAATGATCTTTCACAATGTGAATTTAAACTGTTCACAAAGATGAGAGTTGCATCTTAAAAAACAGTAAAATAAGATTATAACAACGTTAGAATGATCCAATAACATGGAGCTCCAATGGCACAACCGGTTAGCACATGGTATTTACACAACAGCCTTTTAATGTAATGAACCGTGCACCTTTTGTGTGTTTCTACAGAGACATCTATATGGGACTGACACATCCTTCTCTCTCGAAGACTTACTCCAGTGGCTTTCCTCACAGCCTGAAAATTTACTTGAGGTAACTGGAACCTTGGCTTTTATCCTTGCAGGAAAATATGAATGAGGACAGTTCTTCCACCTGGAGGACATAGTTGTTTAAATATAATAAGTATCCAACACATAATTCTTTAGGCACGCAGATTTAGGATTATTTTTAATAGAAACACTTCAACTTTGGAGAATTAGCCAAATATGTATACTGTTCCTTCAAGCAATAATCACAAAGGCCTAAGAATATTTATATAATTCATACTGGATCAAAATGGCAGTAAACATTTGACAAACTGAGGCACCTTTATTTTTCTGGTAGCATTTGTCTTCATTATACCTTATTTGTCTAATTTACTTTAAAAAGAAGGAAACCCTGTGCTCAACCAACACTATACTTCTCTGTAACTATTATTATCCACGATCTTCCACAATGTGGATTTAGACTGCAAGCAGCAAGGATGAGAGTTGCGTCTTACAAAGTAGTAAAATAAGCCCCAACTGGTGTGGCTCAGTGGATTGAGTGCCGGCTTGCCAACCAAAGGGTCACAGGTTCAATTCCCAGTCAGGGCACATGTGTGGGCTGTGGGCCAGGGCCCTACTAGGGGGCATAAGAGAGGCAACCACACACTGATATTTCTTTCGATTTCTCCCTAAATTCCCCTCTCTCTAAAAATAAAATCTTTTTAAAAATGAGGTAAAATGTAAGATTATAACAAAGTTAGAATGATCCATAACCTGGAGGTCCAGTGGTGCACTCAGTTAGCACATGGTACTTACACAATGGCCTTTTATTTTATTTTTTTTTAATATTTAATCATGGCAGCAATTTGTGGTGATAAGAAGCAGCTGTTCTTTATTTTTTTTTAAATATTTTATTTATTTATTTTCAGAGAGAGAGGAAGGGAAGGAGAAAAAGAGGGAGAGAAACATCAATGTATGGTTGCCTCTCATGTGTCCCCCACTGGGAACTGGCCTGCAACCCAGGCATGTGCCCGGACTGGGAATCGAACCGCGATCGCATGGTTCGCAGGCCCACGCTCAATCCACTGAGCTACGCCAGCCAGGGCCACAACAGCCTTTTAATGAATGGTGGGTGCACCTTTTTTGTTTTTTCTACAGAGACATCTAAATGGGACTGGCCCATCTTTCTCTCTGGAAGACTTACTTCAGTTGCTTTCCTCACAGTCTGAAAATTCACTTGAGGTAACTGGACCCTTCATTTTTATCCTTGCAGTAAATATCTGCACTCACCTCTGTGAATAAATGTAACTTTTACACTTGGAGGATGTAGTTGTTTAAATACTTATGTCATAATATCCAACACATCATTCTTTAGGCATGCAGACTTAGGATTACTTTTAATAGAAACACTTCAACTTTAGAAAATTAGCCATTATTCCTCCAAGTAATAATCACAAAGGCCTAAGCAATACTGAATCAAAATGGTAGTCACATTTGACAAACTGAGGCACCTTTATTTTTCTAGTAGCATTTGTGTCTTCATTATATTTTATTGGTCTGGTTTACTTTTAAAAAGAGGGAAACCCTACGCTCAACCAACACTATACTTCACTGGATAGCTTCACGTGGATAGCTGTTATCCACGATCTTCCACAATGTGGATTTAGACTGCAAGCAGCAAGGATGAGAGTTGCATCCTAAAAAGTAGTAAAATAAGATTGTAACAATGTTAGAGTGATACAGTAACATGGAGGTCCAGTGGTGCAGTCAGTTAGCACATGGTACTTACACAACGGCCTTTTAATTTAATGAATGGTGGTTGCACCATTTTGTTTTTCTACAGAGACATCTAAATGGGACTGGCACATCTTTCTCTCTGGAAGACTTACTTCAGTTGCTTTCCTCACAGTCTGAAAATTCACTTGAGGTAACTGGACCCTTGGCTTTTATCCTTGCAGGAAATACCTGCAGTCACCTCTGTGAATATAACTTTTACACCTAGAGGACATAGTTATTTAAATATAATCCAATGCATCATTCTTTAGGCATGCAGATTTAGGATTACTTTTAATAGAAACCAACTTTGGAGAATTAGCCAAATATGTGTACTATTCCTCTAAGTAATAATCATAAAGGTCTAAGCAAACTTATGTAATACTGGATCAAAATGGCAGTAAACATGTGACAAACTGAGTCATATCTATATTTGTTCTGGTAGAATGTATGTTTTCATTATACTTTATTGGTCTGATTTACTTAAAAAAAAACAACAAAAAAAAGACTCTTCTCAGCCAGTTCTAGTTCATTCACTACAGCTGTTATTTTCCATGATGCTCCACACTGGATTTGGATTGTTAACAGCTAGAATTGAGAGTTGTTTACAACGTGAGAATAACCTAATTTTCAAAATTGCCAATTGGGTTCACACCCTGTATTGAGTTGCCTGTATTATTTAACTGTGGAAGGCTATTCATAGCCAACAGCATATCCCTACTTGTATAGAGAAACTGACAAAAATGAATAACGAAAATACTGTATTAGGTACTAGAACTGCTGTTGAAACTGTTATGTGTATTAAAGTGTTTCTTCCCATTTTTCAGGGCATCTCACTGGGAGATATTCCTCCTCTTCCAGGAAGTATCAATGATGGCATGAATTCTTCAGCACACTATAATGTAAATATTAGCCAGGCTATAAGTCATGATGTAAATCTCCGTGAGGCCATGTTGCTGTGTCCTAACAACACATTTAGAAGAGATCTGGTAGAAAGGACTTCACAGCCACAAGAACCATTTCTGCAATTGAGTTCTTATACCACCGGTCCTGAACAGACCCTTACCAGAGCTAATCTGACAGGATTTCTTCCACCTGTGGACCATCAGATAAGGAATCTAACAAGCCAAGACCTTCTATATGACCTTAATATAAACATGTTTGATGAGATAAGTTCAGTGTCTTTGGCTACAGAAAGTTTTGATCCACTGGAAGTTTCTCACCTTTGCGAACAACCAGATTCTGATTCTGGGCTTTCCTTAAATTCAAGACACAATAGTACCTCTGTCACCAAGTCTAATTCTAATTCCTCTATGTGTGAAGGTGCTATAGGTTCTAGTAGTGACCTGGAATCTCCTACCCACTGTGCTTTAGAAGGGGCTGTAGGAGGCTACTACCCGCAGCCCACTAAGATTTGCCACATGGATCTTAGGGGTGATTCTGGTTTTCACCGGGACCTTGCATTTCAACACGTACTCCATAACCACACTTACCACTTACAGCCAAATGCACCAGAATCCACTTCTGAATCTTCTTTATGGCCCAGGAAATCACACAAAATAAGTAGATACCTCAATGACACAGACAGACACTTAAGCCGAGATGAACGCCGTGCTGAAGCTCTACACATCCCTTTTTCTATAGATGAAATTGTTCACATGCCTGTTGATTCTTTCAACAGCATGCTAAGCAGGCACTACCTGACAGATTTACAAATGTCACTCATCCGTGATATTAGACGAAGAGGAAAAAATAAAGTTGCTGCTCAGAACTGCCGTAAGCGCAAACTGGACATAATTCTGAATCTAGAAGATGATGTATGTAACTTAAAAGCTAAGAAGGAAACCCTCAAGAGCGAGCGTGCCCAGTGTAACAGAGCTATTAACATAATGAAACAAAAGCTGCATGACCTTTATCGTGATATTTTTAGTAGACTAAGAGATGATGAAGGTAGGCCAGTCAATCCAAATGAATACGCTCTTCAATGCAGCCACGACGGAAGTGTTTTGATTATACCCAAGGAACTGGTGACCTCACGCCACAGAAAGGAAACTCATAAGGGAAAGAGAAAAAGTGAGAGAAGAAATTAAAAACGGATTCCATTAATATGTATAAAGTAATGATATATGGATTACAAACCATAGAAACTGCTTCAAGGTTTACCTCAAGTATTAATGTATCTTTTAAGTACTGCTACTTGAATCACTCAGTTAACTATTATTTTGAAGCTTATATGGACAAGTTTAGGACTTCAAGATCAGACTTGTGGGAAATCTGAAGAAAGCCCCACCTTTCCATGAAGTCCTCCTGCATTATATGCACAATTTATAAATATGTACAAAGAGTAGGGTGATGTGAAAATTTCATGACTATTCCAGTGACTTTGGTATAGATATTTTTTTAGTAAGATGGTCACTTCAAAAATAGCAAACACTGGATGTAATTTTAAAACATTTCTGACTTGAAATGCAAAGTAGCCTTAATGTTCTCATTTAGTTTGTAAGCACTGTAGTGAGCTTTTCAAAAGCTATTTTAAGTGTTGTGAATACTTAAATTAGAACTTTATCTGTGGAGGTTTTATACTTGAATTTATTTTTTAAAAATTAACTTTCCCCTCATACACAGAAATTCTAAGCAAATTTACCTTGGATATTTTTCCTCCAAAATACATCCAGGAACAGAGGTAAATACCTAGTAAGTACAACAGCATGTTGGTAGACCCAATCCAAATTGACATCAGTGTAGTTCATTAAACTGATAGGGGGGATCCACATTTGGATTTAAATAGTGTATTAAAAGGAATTATAAATGGCCAAGCTCTAAACCATGGTGTCAAAAACAAAAAATGAAACTTTTGCATTAGACTCTGCCTAGATGGCTCAGTTCGAGTATCATCCTGTACAATAAAGGGTTTTGGGTTCAATCCCTGGTTGCTTCCCAATCTGTATTTCTTTCTCTCCCTTCGGTGAGGATAAAAAAAAAAAAGTGCATTAGGCTTTACTGGCTGAGAACAAAGACCTAATGTCATGGGGTTTAGAGAACAGAGGTGTGTATAGAGAAACAGAACTGGGCAATTAAAGGCAGCCTGCAGGGACGGCTTCATCCATAACATTGGTGTCTCACAAAAACATTGCAAGCCCTTACACGAACACAAACCAACAGTAGAGTCAACAGAAGAGCATAGCCTCTACAAACCAATGGACTGGAAATACTAAAACCATATGAAACATGAGAGAGAAAAAACAAGTGGACTTGAACTAACAAGAGTAGTGTTTTGATGTCAGCTATCTCTACCATAAGAATCATTTGCCCAGTGATGTACAAATCACAAGTACCAGGTTGCAAAAATGCAGTATTTTGTAAGTGAATTTTTATAATAAACTTCTCCATTTTAAATTGGGTCTAGACATTTCTTTCAAGCCCTGTATTTTGCCACAATAATGCTGCTTCATACATCCCCTCCCCTGACCAGTTTTGCACAATTATCACTTTAAATGTTGAAAGGAGTGTAATCAATTGCTGGATGTCTTAACCCTTGGTATTATTAAGACACTTTACCACAGAAATTATTTCAAGTCTACAATACAAAATTATATAGCATTTGGCTTCAAAACTATGAGGAAGCCTTATTACTCAAATACTAATTGTCAGACTCCCCCAAATCCCTGGAACTACAAAAACCACAATGAAATACTGGCAAACAACAAATTGGCAGGGGGGAAATGCACATAGTGGAGCTGCAGAACTCAGCATTTTTAACAAAATTTGTTACTAGGTCAACTAATGAAATTAGTTCCTGGACACCACCCAAGTCACACTGATTCAGAGGGTAAACTGAAGCTGTTTACTCAGCCATCCTTGATACTAGTTTTAGCAGAGACATCTCTAAGATTTCATTCTGAACTTCATATTTAGATTAAGGCACTAATAAAGTTGACTAGACTGTTGTACTAAATAAGTTCAGTAGTCTTAACATGCAGGTTTATCCTGAAACTGAAGGTAGTGTTAGAACAAAAAAAGAACACTTCAGACTTCAGGAACTAATTTCCAAAAGGCCAGGTAATCTAATTGAAATTGTATGCACTTTACTATTGAATTTACCTTCATTTACCAGACCCATTCCTTATTTAATAATTCAATGGCAAACCAGACCAATCTTATCATAAGCAAACAGATAACAGTTCCACCAAACCAAGTTTCTGCACAATGTATTATTGGTGTGAGGTTAAATGAACCAAGGGGCAGAATGAGATCTAGACCCTTACGATGATTAGCAACTAAGTACAAGTTTGTTGAGTTAGCCTTTTGCCTCCTTTAAGTGCATTTTAGGACGAGCATCTTTTTTCATTTCTGAATTTACCAGCTAACCCAAACCTAAATTCCATTTTAAATTGGTTTGAACACAAAATTAGTCTTACCTCCTTACTACAGTATTCCTGAGATCCACCGCAAACATTTGCTAAAATAACACCACCTGTGTCAACGTGAGGCCCTGCTAATAAAGTGTGCATATAATCAAATGTACACTCAAGTCTCTACCAGTGGTGCAACACAAATTTCAGTGTGTGTTGGCCCTCTGGGTTCATCAATTCTGTAAAGACCCATTTAAATAAAATCAGGTTGAGAATGTGCATGTACTTTGGGCATTGTACAGTGATCTTGCTGGGAAGGTACATACCTACTTTTTAAGCTTGTTCCTGAGTTGCAACATTCTTTTAAAGCTCCCCTACATTAATTTAGCTCAGTAATCTAAACAATTAGTACTAGTATCAATTCTTTTACAGGATCCAATTTGCATTCCTATACCAAACTGGGTTATTGAAAAGCCTATTACTATTCACTTGTAAAAATTTTCAGTCCTGTGTAGGAGCCAGCCCCCAATCAGTATTGCCTTATTAGTAATACAGGAAACCCTACTGCACCCACCAGAATAGTGACTTCCTAACATTGACACTTCTTGTTAGTGGACTACAGGAATAGGCAAAACTAACCTTGCCGCTGTCAGGCCATTTGGGATGCAGATTTACCAGTCAGTCTAGTTAATCCAACTACAATCTTGAGCTTTGGCCAAAATCAAACTGCTTCCAAATCTGGACGGTAAATACTGTGAAGTCACAAGCTTACTGGTCTAAATTTTAAGTACCGAGATGAACATTTTTGGTCACCACCCTGTACCAGCAACTTTTATAACCTGTGTACAATCTTTAAACCATCACCAAACACCTTTTTCAGGGGCACAGGCCTTTCTCCCTTCATTGTCAAATGAATTACAAAGGCCATCGATATATCATCCTAAAAGTTGCACCTCATTATATCACACATGACTTTGTTATGGTTAATTCTTGCTACCAAAGATCCTTGGACAGTAGGAAAACTGATTTTTAAACACACTTTGGACAAAGGATAGGTATTGTTTTGTAATTCATAAAGGTGTACTTTTGGTGTGTTGCATCATGTACACCAGGAGATAAAAAAGGTTGAATAGCCATCCAAAAATTACCTTTGTGAGGCTTCAGCCATATAAATTCCCATTTTAATAACCTTTCAGTTAATCATGCATTAATTTGCTATTTGTCCTGGTTAACAGTTGGGTACTTTCATTGTGCCAACCTCATTGTCAATCTAGACACTTATAACCTCCAAAAATATTTTTGAGGACAAGCCTTCCCTGAATTTCCTTGATGAATACAACCATTTTAAATCAAATAGCTCGTTTTTTGTTAATCACTGGTTTGACTTACCTGGTACCTATCAAAACCAAAAGGTGAAACCTTGCTGTTCTTCATTTTTTAAATTTCAGGTAAATGCCCAAGAAAGTCATTGCTACCCAACTTCATCCATTAACCCTTTATAGAAAGGTACTGATACTGTGTGATCTGCAATATTACTTTGCAGAACTGGAATGACAGGTTTTTGTCTCAGTGCTTTGCATAACCACTACACTACACTTGGACCACTAGCTACTTAAAGTCTCCAGTATTTTAATACTCCACCAGTGATGAACACACAAGGTCAAGCCAGAAAACTAGCAGCATTCAAACGCTGAATATACAGTGTATAAAGAATGGCATTTTTATTAGGGACAGCCAATAATGTCCACATTGGTCTTTCATGTCTATTAATACTGTAAGAAAAATGGCAATGTGCACAGCTTTGTCAAACTGCTTTAAAAATCTTGGGGATGGCAATTCTTGAGACAAGTGAATGTTTATGGAACAAGATTCACACATTTTATGTGTAAACATTACACCAAGTACTTGGGTACAAAAGAATTTATTTTATAAACTTTATATTTAAAAATAGAACTTTAATCTGTCTACTCACAAAACCTAACTTAAGACATGATACATTTATCTCTCTTGTTAATTTGATGTAACTTCTACAAACAATACTCAACTTGTAATTCTTTTATATTAAGAACCTATACTAAATGAGGTTTGTATTTTATCAGAAAACATTTCCCTTTAATCTTAGAGTGCTTTTTAAAATGAAGGCACCAACAAGAACTACTTTCAGATGATACAGAATTTCTTATTTCTTGAAGATTCTGTGGTTGACCACTTCTTCATTAGTTACCTGCAGCAAGACACCTTCCTGCCAAAGGAAAAAGAAAGTATCTGAAGAAGTTTATCATGTTTGTCCAAAGAACCTAAATAACTTCAGTGGTGGTCTTAGGATCAAAGAAGACTCACTGGTGCATACAGTAGAATATGCCCTGATTATCACATTCCTGAAAAGGCAATTAAAGCCAGGCAATCAAACTGATGACATTTAAGAAATGAATTTCAGCAGCCAACCTAAATCTCTCCTATAAGGTAGGGAATTGGGAAAGAATTACCACATTCATACCCCAGTGTTTAGCACTGGATGCACACAGTATTTATAATGTAGACAGACACTGGAAGTATAAACTATTATCTGAAAACATTCAACCATCCATCTTGCCCTACCTCTTCTTAGCCTGATCCTGATAGCATGTAAAGCTAGAACAACCATATCAAATAAAAATTCTTTATTTTTAATAAAAAAACCCCAGTTCACTCAAATGCTTGATCCAAGAAATGTGAATACACAGGGTGTAACAATGGGAATGATTTATTGAACTTGCAGCCTAACTTTTACCTACCATTTTACTACCAACACCACTGAAGGAACCAAGAAAAGCTTTATTAATCACTTGGCTTGCCTCAGCTGTTGAAATGAAGCACTTTACAGTCTTTGTGGCAGCAGAATATACTTGTCCATGGTTCATATCAATGCTAAAATTCCAGCAGGGAAAAAAATGATATGTTAAGCACCCGAATCTTCATAGAGGGGGAGGGGAAAGAAAGAAAGGGGGGAACAATCAAAATAATTTAAGTAAATGACAGATTGGAAAACAGGGTTTATAAATTACTCTCTTGAGTTTATAAATTGTTAAAACTCAATTTATAGCTATGTTAAACTACGTAAGAACCACTATACTGAAAGACCATTGAAGAGTATTAGTTTATCTTTTGGGGAGGAAAATTTAAAAAGGAAAAGTAAATAAGATCTTACCTAAAGAAGTTTAACTGAAGCTTAGAACTATTTGCTCTACACCCTCAGCTTTCGTTGGCATCCTTATAAACTACTGTAGTTAAAGCTTTGTAGAAACAGCACAGTTTTTTAAGACTGGCTGAATTTAGTAGCCGTCAAGAGTTTTCTTGTACTAGACCTGTATCCCTGAAGAGTACCTCGCTGGGGTTATTTCCTTTCCTTGCATTGAAGAAGCAGCATCTAAAAGATCTAAAAAGGTGTTTCTCCTTGCAGAGATATCCCTTAAGTTATCTAGGTAATTTAATCCTGATGAATTGCAGACAACACACTTACATCTGACCAGCATTTATCTTACACAAATACAACAACAGCTTTGCAATGGACCTTAATTATACTACCCACTCCTTAACTTATTTAAAATAAAAAGTCTATAATTACACAATTTCCTTTAGAATTATTTTATTAAATCATAAATGTACAACAGCTTCTTAACTCTACACACGCACTTAAATTTTTTAAAGGAAAAACGTTATGTCTTATTACACCATGATCCTGGCTAATAGCTTTTCAAAACTTTGAGAAAAATCTTAAAAAAGGTTTCACATGTCACCTGAAACTTACAAATTTAACATTATCAAAGAAGGAATGCTTCTACACTCTTACAAAGACCACTAGAAATAAACAACAATTAAAAAGCTAAGAAACTGTCTCAAAGGCATTTTTTTACAATCCTTCCTCCACAGTAAGGTAATGTTATTAAATAATCCAATCCATTCACAAAATGGCTCTCTGCATCTGCTCTGGTGTCTTCTGCCATATCACTGCATACTTATGCATGACTGAGATAAGTTTCCTTAACATTGTTATTTCGATAACCTGAAGCTGTTCTGTTACCTCTGGGCTCTCATCCTCTCCTATTTATACAGTGAAGCCTGTTTCAACAGAAGTAAAGAGTAAAAAAAAAATAGGTTATGAAATTATCCATCTAACCAGATTTTAAGGAAAGATAACATGATCCTAAAAAGCTTTTACTCCTGACAGCTAGATCTCCCCAGATAATAATATTATGTAAAAACTCAAAAGCTACTTACCCATTGGCAAATAGGAAGAAGCTCAATATCGGCTTCTCCCTCCATAACCCCCACTTCCTCCACTTCCTCCAGGACCATAGTTTCCTAGAATTGATAGACCAAGAGAAAGCAGACTTACTCCAATTTCTCATGATTAGCATAGTAAGTTACTAATCCTATAGAACACCTACTATACATGGTTTAAAACAGATAACTCACTGTTTCTAATTATCTTGATTACTTGGGAAATAAATTATTCAGATTCCCAGATACTGCATTTTGCTGTGTATCACACTATTGCCCACATTTTTTTAGGGAAAACTAAGGGTGCATGTTATACATGGGTAGCGCTAATTATTAATGTTTATGCTTTAAAAGTTTGACTCTAGAAAGCAGTGATATTCGTATGCAAAAAATAACCTGGAATACGACAAATCAGTTGCTCCTAAATATAACTGAAATTAAAAAAAGTTTTTTTGTTGTTTTCTCTCCTGAAAGCCTGGGCCAAAAAGGTGGGCGGCGCACTATCCACACTGCAAAATTGCATTAATCTATTTGGTCCTACTAAAAACTTTCTCAAAAATAACTTATGCCCTGATTGGGTAGCTTAGCTTGTTAGAGCTTCATCCCAAGATACCAAGGTTGTGGGTTCAATCCCTACTCAGGGAACATACAAGAATCAACCAATGAATGCATAAATATGTGGAACAACAAATCAATATTTCTCTCCTTTCCTCCCTCTCAAAAGTAGCAATATAAGTGAAAACAAAAAAGCTTGAACATTTGTGATTAACTTTTACTTTTAGAGAGACAGATAACACATGCACACTTTATACAACTTTGCAGTGTCCTTAGCAATTTTATTCGGCTCTCTTAACTAGCTAAGGAAAACACACCCCACACAAAATATCTCAACTGCTTCTCCAATTTCTAAATATAGATTCCCATTATGAATACATGAAACAATTTATTTTTGTATTATTTTCCAGATTAAGTAAACCTACTTTTGTCCCACCCTGTATTCTAAACCACTTAGTCTCATCCATCACACCAAACCCAAGCTTATATGTTAACAATTAAAGTATTTTCCACAAATCTCGATAACCCGAAAAATTGTATTATCTTTCTCATTTCAGATGTGAGAAGACTCATTTTTCCTTTAATCACACAAAATAATTTCAAGAATGTAACAAATTACCTCCACCATATGGTCCCCCCATGTTCCTGCTACCACCAAAATTTCCACTCTTCATTGGACCATAGTTAGAAGGTTGTTGGTTGTAATTCCCAAAATCATTATAATTTCCACTTCCATAATTTCCTGTAAAAAAGTTGAAATACAAGTTTTGCATAATGAACCTCAGGATACAAACATTAAAAAAGAGTTACACATGCTAAGTATTTAAAACACATCTCCCCAAAAGAGCAAATCAGAATAAATGCACAACACCTATCTACAATTCTAGTTTTTTAAGGCAGCTATTGACAACAATGAAATTTTAAAAAATCTCATTAATAAGCCATTAATTCCACTCCAAATTCCCACATAAAGGATGCAGGTGAATTTATTACCTCCTCCATAGTTGTCATAACCACCTCCGTAGCCCCCACCCTGGTTGCCATATCCAGGTCCTCCACCACCATATCCTCCTCTTCCTCCTCCATAACCAGGGCTACCTCCAAAATTGCCACCTATTATAAAATAAGCCTTTAAGTAATTACTTAATATTTTCAATGCCATTTGAACTGTCTTATCACACCCACTTCCAGCTTTCTAAAACACATTTTTACAAGTAAAATATTTGTCCTAAGAAATCTCTTCTGGAATAGCCTCTAGGACAAAAACAGGATATCCCTGTAAACATTTGGGGATGGGGACTACATACATAACAACCAACTGCATAACACCTTTATGGTAATAAATACCAATTAATATTGTTGCTCTACCTTAACACTAAAGATATTAAGGATCCTGTTAAAATACCTTGAGATACCACTTGTATTTTGCATTAAGGGTTTCCAGGGCATATGAGGTATAAGGCAAACAAAGTAAGTAGAAGGGCCACCCACCCCCGCCCCCACAGCCTCAAAGATTTCAGCACCCAACTCAGGTCTCCTTTAAGAATTACCATGTTTCCTAATAATATGCTTACTACCCTTCACCTGAGTAGAAATGAGGGGAGGACCAGATATCAGCAAACTTATAAAAGCATAGTTGGAAATAGTGAGATATACATGAGACTTGATTATGTGTAATGAGTGACAAAAATCAAGGTCTTCTACTAGCTCAGTTTTAAATGTCTTTCTTACTAGGACATTTGCCAGCAGGTATCAACCTTTATTTTGTATTCCAACAAAAACATCTAATGGGTCACTTGACATTTAACAATGGCCAACAAATCAGCTGGACCCAGAAGCACCCTTATGTATTTTGGGAATGTTCTTTTTGGTGACTTTTGGGAAATTATCCTGGGGGAACTAATCTTATTTTAAAGACTGATCACCACTCTGTTATTACATATAGCTTACAGGTTGATCATGGTGATATAAAACATTCTATACTTCCCCCAAGAAATGGTACATGAAGTTATCACATCTATGTCCATTCATGTTCAATGCTTTGGCTAGACAAACAAGTTAAGCATGATGCCATCTTTCAATTCTCATTTAAAATCCACCTGAGTAATTCTGCAACCTACAACACATACAAGTAACCTCTTTCCTCTAAATACACAAGAGCTATACCTCCACTCTCTATGAAAGGTAAGAATATAAGCCATTAAAAAAAACTAGACACACGCACAGTGGGAAATAAGTGTTTAAAGTCCCATAAATCAAAATGTGTAAGAAACTGACCTCCAGGTCCTCCTCCATACCCATTATAGCCATCCCCAAATCCACGACCACTGCCATAGCCATCTGTTGGGGCAGAAAAAATCATGGTTAATATATATAACCTACTCAGTCCTTTTTCTACCTTTCCTCCACTTTCTCCATTAAGTATCTATGGATGATTATTGGGAATCATCTCCCTTCACGCTAACACTAGAATGTTACTACTTTATTCTTAGAAATAAGCAAAAAGTGTAATGAATTAAATCTCGCCATCAGGATAACTACCCAATTTGGGGACTTGGCAAGCATAAGTTTAAGAGATTCCACTTATTTCCACACGGGAATGATAGTAAATAGAATACTGGAAAGGTTTTCAGGTTGCACCTTATTTTACTTAAGAAACATTATTTAAAGCCTAAAGCAAAAAAGTTTACTACAGATACAGACTTTTAAAAGCTCACAAGCCCTGGCTGGCGTAGCTCAGTGGACTGAGAGCGGGCCTTCGAACCAGAGTATTGCAAGTTTGATTCCCAGTCAGGGCACATGCCTAAGGTGCAGGCCAGTTCCCATCAGGGACCAGACAGGAGGCAACCATACATTGTTATTTCTCTCCCTCTTCTTCCCTTCCCCTCTAAAAATAAAATAAATAAAATCTTAAAAAAAAAAAGGCAGCTCACAAGCAAAGCTTCTATGGTACTTTCACTCATTAAGTGTATCTGATAGTTTTTACGGTGGTTGCAAAGTCATTTTGATTTAAATTCAAGACCCTAATGGATTTGATTATCTTTTAAAGATTTTATTTGTTTTTGGGAGAGACGAGATGGGAGAAAGGGAGGGAGACACATGCTCCCAACTGGGGTACCTGGCCTGTAATAACCCAGGCGCATGCCCTGACTGGGAATCAAACCATCAACCCTTTGGTTTGGTTCTCAGGCCAGCACTCAATCCACTGAGCCAAACCAGCCAGGGCAAGATTATCTTTTAACTACTACCTCTCGGTTGGCCAAATTAGAATACTCCACCTACTTAAAAACTCTTAAAAAGGAACTTCTTAAAATCAGCTCAGATTTCCTGATTCTAATGAAATGCAAGTCAGTTTTTCAGCAAGCATATTTACCCTTCTAATATCTAGAACTTAAAACTTACCAGATCCTCCTCTAAAGTTACTTCCTGGTCCTGGTCCAAAATTGCCACCGCCACCGCGTGAGTCTCCAAAACCAAAGTTGCCTACAACAAATGGCTTAATTAGCAACAAGTTATTTACACAAGGAAATTTTAAAAGAAAAAAGTGGAATTACAGTTACCTCCTCTTCCACTTCTAGAACTTTGAACTTCCTGCATTTCTTGTCTAGACAAAGCCTTTCTTACTTCTGCATTATGACCATTGATGGTATGGTATTTCTGCACTGAAAGGAAAAGTTCAGACACCATTAAATCAGCCATACCATAACTTTTATCAATGTTTACTTTTAAATAAAATTATAGGCATTAACATATCCCAAATTTAATTTATGAAAATACACACATCTAGGGGCTTATATACTTACACACAATCTTATCCACAGGATCATGGTCATCGAAAGTAACAAATCCAAAGCCCCTTTTCTTTCCAGACTGTCTATCAGTAATTATCTCAATGGTATCAATTTTCCCATATTCCTCAAAGTAATCTCTAAGATGATGCTCCTCAGTATCTTCTTTAATACCACCAACAAACAGCTTCTTCACAGTCACATGAGCCCCTGGCTTTCCAGATTCCTGTAGTAATAAGGGGGAGGGTAAGTCTTCTGGACAGAAGAAATCTAACATGGTTGAAATCATCTTTGGGTACCATAAATGACCTCTATCCTCCTGGTGGTAAAGCAAAAACTAGTGTCTTTGTAAAAGTCACTAGTCTTTCAAAAACAAGTGAGTCTAGGACAACCATCATAGCTTTTATAAGAGAAAATCCACTGAGCCAGAATACAGAAAAATTATTTCAAAATTACATTGTCTTCAAAGTTATACTATGCTCACCTCTCTTGCAACAGCACGCTTTGGCTCAACCACTCTCCCATCAATTGAATGAGGTCTTGCAGCCATTGCGGCATCAACCTCAGCCATGGATGAAAAAGTTACGAAACCAAATCCTCTTGATCTTTTGCTTGCAGGATCTCTCATTACCTTTAGAACGGAAGGGGAGGGAAGCTTTAGCTTTCGATCTGTTTACTTGATGAATTAAAAGCAGTTTTAAATGAACAGACTTAACAGTAATTTCTCCAGGATTCATTTAGCATTTTAAACACAGGAGGATCAATGATTAAAAAACTAGTATGTGAACGCACTTTTACATATTTAACGTACCACACAGTCTGTAAGTTTCCCCCATTGCTCGTAGTAGTTCCTCAAACTTTCTTCTGTGGTTTCAAAGCTCAAGCCACCAATAAAGAGTTTACGGAATTGTTCCTTTTCTCTCTGCAAAGGAAAACACCATTTCAATTTTTATTTACATTTTCTCTTTGTATATGCAGGGAATTAAATTCTTAAATATAAGGTGACCTGCTGGCAGAGTACCTTTTTCCTCTCCAAAGGAACAGTTTCTAAAGTTTTCTGGAGGGGAAAAAAAAAACTTACATCAAATTTAAACCATATGTTAAACTGTATATTAGTTGTGTTACACCAAAAATTGCGTCAGCTGAACTACACACGTTTCAGTCATAATGCTTGATTTAAAGTTACTTGACATTTCAAATACGTTTAATACCAGTTAGGGGAAAAAAAATTTCCTGAAGATAAAGGAGCAAATTTATCCCCTGGTCATTGAAGGGTTGAAGGATTATCAGAATTTGTGTTCAACTCTATATCCTAAAACAATTGGTTCCTTACTCACAAACCAGTTTATTTACCATTTCAGGATTTAAATGGTCTATTAATTATTTCCTTCATTGCTCCCTCTGGTGGAGGTTCTAATATATCACAATAAAAATCGTACTTTCCCTGCTTTACCAATTATTGGGGGTAAAAATTTAAACGTTCCATATTATGTAACAAAATATCCTTAAAATTCACTCCTCTGACCAATGAGGACTGATTTTTATGACCAACTAATGCTTAACTACACTTTAGAAAGTATTAATATTATTACATTTGGGGCACTCACATTTTGGTACTTTGACAACTCAGAAAAATCTGAATCACTATGGGGCAAACAACTATGATATAAATCAGTATATACTTTCACTGTAATCATTTCACTTTTCAAAAACTGTAAAAATGTTTAATGACCACTGTGAGTACCACCATTTACCCTTCATTGACTCATTAAAACAATAAATCAGAATGCTCACGTGTATTAAACTTATTGGCTACCTGGCAAACTACATATGTGCCTCTAATTTTACAAGCAAAAAGGAAACAAACCCAAGCTAGACTCTTTCAATCCCCATAAATCAGCAAGCAACTACGTTGCATTGACAGTACTGAATGAATTTTGGGCTTCCAGTTAAGAATTGGTGGTCATTTGGTTTCTAGGTGACTAATAAAAGTTGTTTTAAAAATATTCAGAAATGAGAATAAGTCTATTATTGTCCAGGACCAACAGCTATGTGTGTGTAATACAACTAAAACATCAAATGCAATTTTCTATGTAACAGGAAAAATTTTATTCCCAGCAAATAGCATTGACAGCTCTCAACTCAGTTTTATAGGTCTCTCCCCTCCATGCACGATATTCTCCCATCAACTTAAAAAACAAAGTAATTCAGTGTTTTCCTGAAGTTAACTGCTTTCAGGAATCTGAAAAAAATTTGAAGATTAACAAATTATCAAGCTAACTCCTCATACATTTAAATACCAGACTACTAAAGTCTATTAGTTATCTGCCATACTGACATTTGGACTCTTAAGCTAATCTTATTCTACGCTCAATTATCAGAAAAATACATTTTAAAGCCCAATAAATTATTGAAGTTAAGTACTACGTTTCTTAACAAATCACGAACAAAAGCAAAAGCTCATTACTTACCTCAAATTTCCTCCAAACTTACCCGATGTCCACTATCGATTACAAAATTTTATAAGCGTGCTTAAGGTCAAAGAAAATACCCCGGTAGAGCCCCCCCCCCCCCCGAGACCTTATGCTTACCAATGTAATCATCAACCACGATTGCAAACACAAATGAGAAAAGCAAGTAACAAAGTTCAAACACATAGCGCACAGCCTAACACTATTGTATACAGCAATACATGCATTGAGGGCTGAGTCGTGTTTTAAGTGTAGGAATTATCATTTTTCACTTTACTTCCTCACAATTTTTAACTGACCGTTGTAAGGATCCGCGGTCTTAGTAAAAAGTAACTGTCTGTATTTCTTGAAATAAAAATTGTACGATTCAAAAGGAATACTTTTGAAACGAACACCCCCCCATACACCTTTCCCCACTCATAATCAGCACTAAACTGATGCCTCCTAGTTTCGATTTTATTTCTAAAACTGCGTGCGAGACAAACTGCCTTTTTAGTCACCGCAGACCCAGAAAAAAAAACCGTTACTCAAGCTTAGGGCTAGAACACAAAATGTTCCCTTTGTCACCTGGGTCGCAAAGACCTGGGCCCGACGCCCTAGGTCGTTCTACCTAGAGGCCCGAAAGCTACGCGTAGTAGCCGGGTAGGCCGCCCCCCCCCCCCCGCGGTGGCTGCTGAACGCAATGGCGCCATTTCATCGAGAGGAAGGGAGCGCGCCTCTCAGGAGGTGCGCAGGGCTCTAAAGAGCAAAGCTCACAAAAACACTCGGAATCCACCTCAAAACCGCATGAAATCGGCCCGGGAAGAAAGGAAAATAGTTAACCACGTCTATTCTTTAACACGGGAGTCAGACTAGTGGAAATCGGCCAGTCAAAGAGAAAAACGCGGCGAGGAAGGAGGAAAATGAAAATGGCGGCCGCCAAATCCGGGGAGAGGGGGAGGGGAGGCTCTGCAGCCTCGCTCCGGAGGTCCTGAAGCCCAACCGAAACGCTCACACGCAGGGCCGCCGGGGCCCCCAAACCCGCCTACTCCAGAAGAGGTGGTAAGAATTCCCCCCTGCGCGCCACACTTCACTAAAGCGCCGCCGCGACGGCCATGTGGAAGAGCCCCATCCCCCAACCCCCAGCAAAGGGAAATGGCGCCGGCAGGCTGAGGGTGGGGAAAGCGCTGCACAAACAGGCGCCCGCAGACGATCCCTTCTCCAACAGACCCTGAGACCCACTGACCCCTCTTCAAATCTACCCGGTAACCAACCGCTTCTGAAGTGGCCCCATTTCACCGCCGCTCTCCCACGAGACGGGTGGCGATGTTCCACTGAGGCGCTAACGGCCTCGCCATGCCCTTTCCAATAACTCATTGATTTCAAACCCGTTACCTCCATCGCGGACTCAGTCGCTTCAGCCCGATTTCCCGCAGCCGAGCGAGATGAGACAGCTCTCCGCGGTCGAACGCGAGCCGGACTCGTCCTGGCGCTGTAGTGAGAACTGCCGCCGCTGGAGAAACAACAACGCTAGCGACACCTCCACACGGCGAGCCGGCGCTGCTGCTACTGCCGCTAGAGCCGCTGCCACCGCTTTTCTAGAACCTTCCCCCAGCCCCCCCCCCCCGCCAAAGCGTCTTTGCGTCAGGCCGTTACGTAAACGTCCTAACTGCCGCCAATGGCGGGATCGCTCCACGCCCTCCTTGCGCCAAATACGTACTATCCCCTTCTTTGCGGCCCGCGGAGGGTTTGACGTCACTTGCGTAAATGGGACCAGTGAATTGCGAACGTCTCGAGTCAGCGTATTTCCCTCTCTGGGATTTGAGTCCAACCCCCGCTTTAGCGCAGGGCAGGTGAGAAACGGTCGCGCAATTTGAAATTAAAGCTGTTGAGTGGGCCTCACTTCACAGTGTAGGGTTCCAGCTCCTCAGCAGTGCTTTGGATAATGCCCACCCCTCGCGTTCTCCCGCCGTGAAAATTCTAGCTTCCCCACCCCTTTCCCTAGGGCACACGACTGACTCGGTCCCTGCAGGGAATACCCGAAGCGACTTATTGTCAACAATTTATGCTTCACGCTCCGCTAGCCTAACCCTGGCCAGTACCTTTGGGCTACAGCCTCGGGGGCCCGAAAGGGGCACCATTCTTAGTTATCGATTCTTCCCCAACTAAGTTTTTTTCACCATCCCCCTTCCCGGGCTGTGGAAACACCCACCCCCAGAGCGAGGAAGTGGGCGGAGTCCGGTTTTGGCGCCAGCGCTGCTGCAGCGAAGCAGAAACGCCGCCGCGGAGAAGATCCCGGTCGCTGTCGGCGTCCTCCTTCCCGTTCCCTTCCCTCGGGGGACCACCAGGCGCCACCCCGCGAACTGTAAGTGCCGCAGTTGCCACCGCCCTTCCCCAGTCTGTGCTCCGGCTCCCGGCGGGCCCAGCGCGGCCTGCAGCCCCTCCCCCGCCTCCGGGCGCGCGCCGGCCGGCTCCGCCCCTCGCGGTGTCCCAGCGTGGGCGGTGCCAACCCCCTTCTCGCGGCAGCGGCCCCGCGCGCGAGTCCCCGGCCCCCTCCCCCTCGGATGTGGCTGGAGCTGAAGGCGTGCAGGGCCGGAGACGCCGTGGGCTCGGGATCCGGAGCAGCACGAAGGCGGTGAAGTCGGTGTCTTTCTTTCTCTCTAGCTGTCTCTCGGAGGTGGGGTTTAAGATGCGCCCCAGGGACCCCGTGCCCAGTTCCCACCCGACCGCTGAGGTGGGGGGAGGGGGAGAGAAGTGGGGACGCGAGCGGAGATCCCAACGCGGGGCACGGGGAGGGCGCTTGTAGTTTGTTGTGGTAAGACTGCCCTTGAGAGGGTAGAGAGCTGTGGCGACAGCCGCCTTATTTTTAGACAAAGCGCATTTACTTCTCCCCTCCCCCATTCCCGAGAAAAATGAGAGGCCCGTTTTCCCCTCCCGGGTTTAGTCGGCTGCGGGGGCCTCTTCATGAGGGCGGTGCATTTTCTCACGCATTTGCGCAGCCCACTGTCCGGTGGCTGCAGCGGGCGCTCCGTTAGGTGGCCGCCGCCGGGAGGGGGGAGGTGCGGACCCCGTGGCGCAGTGCCCTTGAACCCCCGCGCCGCGGCCTTTGTTTCTCCCCGCGGATGCGCTGACCACGAGGCCGGAGCTGCGGGGTTGGGGGGCGGGGCCGGGTGCTTCAGTTTCGTTAGGCGGGGTGGGACCCGGGTCTCAGGGCGAGGGGATGGACCTGCCGAGGAGGTGGTTTTTTTTTTTCCAGTAGTACGAAATGGGACTGAAGCAACCCAGTGTGTTTTTCCTTCAGTTTTTTAACGAGGAACTGTATAGAGGGAGGGTTTCCGAGAAAAAAAAACAAAACATGTTGGAATTACCCAGGTCACTCTTAATGAGTGTTAGAGGCCTAAAGGAAAAATTCACGGTAGTTTACCATTTTTATTGGGTACTTGTCTTGTGTCTTATTTTTCAACCAAAATATTTGGCCGTTTTGAAATAAATGCTGTATAGGGGATTTAGATTGGGAAGAAATTATCTACTGACTATTTTTTTGCCCTGTAAAGCTGTCTTAGGGACCAATGTCTCGAGTAAGGTTTCTAGACCCATTTGGTTAGAATGCTGATATATTTTCAGGCAGCATAACTTATTAGTAACTTCTAATAACAGTGAAGTTCAGATTTGCGTCTCTGAATTGGTATGCACGTTTGGTAATATGTACTACATAGATGGGGATTGGAATACAAACAAAACTTGTTTTAGTTACCTTTTTGTGTCATGCAAACTTCCTTTTAACTGTCATGCATTTTTCTAGTAAAAGCTCTTCAAGTCTGCAATAAAAATGGCCTCCAATAAAACTACATTGGTAAGTTAATAAAGACCTGAATATGTAAGGATCTAACTCAAATGTTTTCCCCCAAAAATTATAACTTTCCATATTAGTGGTGACAAATGTACATTCATTTATATTCCCCGGTGCCCCCCCCCCGATGTTATAGGAACAATTGGGGGCAAAAAATGAGATCATTACATTGAGATACTTAATAGACTTGGCTTAATAGTATCTTAATTAAAATGAAGGAACTTAATCTTGATGAAATTGCACAGTATGAATGTTAAGTCTATTATGAAATGAAAGCACAAATTTATGTAACTTGGAAGAATATGTTACAAGCATGGACAGACAAAGCAGTAAAGGCCTTGTTGATTGGCATACTGTCACCTAACGTGTACTGTGTGCTGAATTTTAGAGAAATCAAGTATTTGCAGTATTGCCCAGTTTAAAGAAAAAAGTACCTTGTACAGTACATTGCCTCAAAACTCATTGAATCTTTCAAATACTTGGGTACTTTGTCATATTTCAAACTTACTCTAAAATACAGAAGGGCCTTAAATTAAAATCGTGGCTTTTAAAAAAATATGTATTAAAATATACCAAATTGCCTATATGTCCAGGAAGGAAAGAAGAGTAGGCCTTATGGAACTTCTGAGCATTTACATTTTTTTCTCTTCATCAGTTTCTTAAACCAAAACTTTGTGTTAGGCTTCAGTAAACACTAGAATATTCACATGAGAGTCATGAAATTCAAAGTTATTCCCACCGTATTTAATTCTAACACATTGCATTAATAGTAATCGCAGGCATGTACAGGTGAATGTTAATATTGTAAATAAAGGAAAGCATTTGGTTTGGGTCCATAAGTTCTCCCCTTGGATTTCACACTAAAAAGAGCAAGTTTGTACTTTATAATTTGTATCATTAGATTGCACATTTAAATGAAATAGTTTGGGAAATAGGAAATAGAAAAAGCTTGTGTGATGAGTCTATAGCATTCATCAAAGCATATTCTGTGCCCCTTTAGAGATAAACTACCCTTCAAATTCCATAATCAGTAAGCCAAAGTGTATATAATTGAATTGGTTTTATGATTACCTGGGTCCAGGTATTAGATGGAAAAGGAACTAGCTCTGCCTGGTGCTTTGAGGATGAATATAGAGAAAACAAGCAAAAAAAAAAAAAAAGAAGAAGAAAGAAAGCAAATAGATACGTCTATTAAAATTAAATTGCTTTTTACACAATTTTTTAATCATTTCATGTGTGTTAATGGTGAGATAATGGTGCTATAACAAATTGGGAAAGTGGGCGGATTTTTTTTTTTTTTTTAAGATGAGCACTTTAGCTCATGAGTCCTATTGCAATACATCATTTTTTATGCTAGTTTTTCTTAAGTTCAGGGTTTGTCCTTTTTATTTTGTTTTTTTTGGTTACCCTCTTTATTCTGTTAATCTCCCTTCACAGACCTAGCTGTTTTGCTTGTCATTTAGTATCAGTATCTAATAAGCTTTTGTCCACACCAGCTGTTCTTTATTGTCCCCACTACCATACCTACCTTCCTTGTACTGTACAGAAGCAGAAGATTACCTGACTGGGTGCAATGCCCAAGTAGTGTGTTTGTGTGTGTACTTTTAAATGAGTGTATAGTTTTAAAGTTCTTCTGCAGACGTGTGTCATTGCTGTTATTTTTTTCTGTATGCTATATTGAGGAACAATTTTAGTGACTGGGTGATAAAAGACTTTATTTTTTTACAGCACATGTTCTAAGATGAAATGAGTATAATAACAGTTATACTTTCCTTAGTCTCTTCTAATTAACCATTTAGTTTTGGGGGGTGTTTAAAATTTACTCATTTTCAGTCTTCTCGTAACAAATCTGAGTTACTAGAAAGTAGTGGATTGCACTTGGTCTCCTCTGAAATAGTGTTATACTTGAAAAAGCGCACACGGTAGGCCACAGGTGGCAAACATAAGGCCCTCAGGCTGAATCCAGACCTCCACCTTGTTTCTACCCAGCAGCAGCGCTGTGCTCCTTGCCCCTTGCCCCTAGTTAAGGAGTAGTTACATTTATGCAGTCCTAGCTAAAATCAGATTCGGCCCTTTAAAGGCAACTGCAAGGCTGATGTGGCCCCCCATGAAAATGAGTTTGACACCCCTGCTCTAGGGTAAAACTTGTTTAAAATTATTTTTGTTGGCTACCAGTTTAAACTCTTGAGAGATGAAGAAAGGAAGATTGATTGGTTTTTTCCACAAAATTAAAATGATCTAGCATTTCTGCCTCTTGAAATGACAGCATTATAGCTTTGTTCCAAGTGGTCAGTAACATGTCAGCAGAAATTATGGAAAAATGATCTTGTTCTTTTTAAACTATTCATCATCTTGGTTGACCCTGCAATTGACACCAGGGTACTGAACCATGTTTTCATTCTTGTAGGTAACCATTTTTTTATATTGTGGAGGCTTTTAACATTGTGTTTGAATTGGCAAAGGTGATCTTCAGGTTTGGGGGATATTACGATTTCAACCGGTGTATGGTTCACTTAATAACACCTGTCACTTCTTTTCTCTAATATTGTGATTACCTCCTAGATTACGGGTGTCAAACTTATTTTCACCTGGGGCACATCAGCCTTGTGGTTGCCTTCAAAGAGCCGAATGTAATTTCAGCTCCTTAACAGTTGAGTAGTTACATTTATACAGTCCTAAAATTATTTTTGCCCTTTGAAGACAACCGCGAGACTGATATGGCCCCCAGTGAAAATGAGTTTGACGTCCCTGTCCTGGATGTTTGCAACTGTTATAGTTAAAATCAGTGAAAACTGTAGTAACCACAGTTTTGTAGACTGCATAGAAATAAGACCAGGGAAAGATAACAGTATTTTCCACATAGTGTTTTTAATTGTATTTTTTCATTGAAAGGTGGTAGATAATAGGTTTAAGCTAAACCAGTGTTTCTTTTATTGGCTATTTGTTAGCTTTTATTTTTTCAGAAGGTGTCTACATAGGGATATAAAAGTAAAAATTTAGGTGTCAAATTCAACAATAATATAAACAACTTAGCCTTTAAAGTGTATCCCCAAATTAAAACAAGATGTTTCTTAATTCCTTGTTGTTTTAGCAAAAAATGGGAAAGAAACAGAATGGGAAGAGTAAAAAAGTTGAAGAGGCAGAGCCTGAAGAATTTGTAGTGGAAAAAGTATTGGATCGAAGAGTGGTGAATGGGAAGGTGGAGTATTTCCTGAAGTGGAAGGGATTCACAGAGTAAGTAAATCCCTTCTACTATTTGCTTAACTGCATGTAAGTGGTATTTAGAACTGGTTTTTAACTTGATATCTTTTATTAGTTTTCCCACAGGTTTTTTAAAATTTAGAGACACCTTTAATCCAGGGTAGCTTGTTTTAGAGCTATTTAAAAGGAGTCAAGGTTTTAGTATACAGTTTAGCCAAGCAAATTTAAGACTACTTGATAACCTTGGAGAGTCAAACTTACCAAATTACTGTATAGTTTACTACGTAATGCACTTTAAAGTAGCTAGATACCATACTAATTAGAATACCTAATCTGTATCACTTATCTACATAAAGAGGGCACTAAAAAACATGGAAGATGTATAATGTAGACCAGTGGGTCTTAAACAGGAGTGCTCATTAGGATCCAGTTCTCCTAGGTTTACTGTGTCCTAATCTCGAAGTCAAGAATGGGCTTTTTTAATTTTTTTAACTCACTGGTTTCCTCATGTTCCTTATGCTAGCTCTTGTCATAACTGCCCTTAATATTAATCTGCCTTGTGAATAACTTATGTAAGTTATGCAGGAATTACACTGTTAATATTTATCATGTACTAATCTGCTTGGATTTTTCTGTTTTATACTACAAAAACAGGCTCCATGGGCAGCGACTATTGATAATGGCTAGGTAGAGAGCTACAAAAATTTGTGAATGTGGTGGAGATGAGGAGAACAATAGTCCAATTATTAGGCTTTAGCTGTCTGTAATTTACTCCCTCTGCCATTCAAATTTTAAAGCAATCTCCATAGCAGTTTGGGAAGTATGAGTTGAATGGAAGTTTAGGTTTCCCTATTTTATCTTTCCAGTAACTTTAAGCGAGTTTAAGTAAATATCGTTTAAGTTTGTGGTTTTCCCCTGGATAGCTGAACCAAGCAAATGAGTCTGAAGTACTTTTAAATTAGATTTAACCAGTTTGCCAAAGAACTGATAACCTTGATATGGTGGACACTTGGTTTTATTGTTTGTTTTGTTTGTAAACCCAACGGACAGTAAGAAGTAAGTGTCCTGCCCATTAAATGTTAGGAAACTAACTCCTCCTTTTCTCCCCAGACTTAAGGCCCCTAGAATGGTTGAGAATCTGCTATGTGTGCTACAATGTATTAGGGAATATAGAAGGCTGTATTGGAAAGAACCCTGCAGAATGAGTGCTCCACTTTAGCTCTTCTGTCCTCTTTACCCTCTAATTTATCGTTACCAATTTTGGGGTCTCAGAATATCAGCAGACCAAGTTGAAACCAGAGGTTAATATTAGCACTGTTTTCAGCACTTGTAAAATGGTTGATTTCATTCCATCTTGTTCTGTAAAGACTTTTGGGATCAGAGCACACAAAGTTCACAAGCCTGTCACTAGTGAATGAGCTTACTTTCACTTTTGCTAATGGATATTTTCTTTCCAGTCCTTGTTTATGGGCCCTGAAATTCAAATTTTATTATTTCCATTTTGGTGTGGGGCCCCCTCCCCCCCAACCAGTAAAAAGTGTATAAAACATTATTGGTAGCCAAGTAGAAGGCTGGATTTGACTTTTGGACTGCCAACCCTTTCTTAACACTTTTCCCAGTTTGAGCACTCAGCAGAAATTGAAGGTGTACTGTTCCACGTTTGAAAGTGCTTCAGAATTATTTTAAAGCACATTGTTGGAGGCTCTAACCCTTCCTGTATTCTGATTAATCTGCTAAAGTAATTTAGGGTGAGAGTTAGGAATCACAGTTTTTTTAAAGCCCTTCCAAAGAAATTCTGAGGTGGGTTGTTTATGTTAGAAATCAGGTTCAGTTTACTTGTGGGTAGTTGTAGGCCCTGTAAAAGAAGACACAAAGGAGGGACATACAATCAGATTGTGTCAAGAATGTGAGGAATAGGGGAAAAAATGGTTAACACAGAGGGCTTTTCTGATATAAATCTGGATGATGGTAAGCTATGTTTAATTGAATGAACTCTTTTTTTTTTTTTTTTTTTTTTAACTGAATGCAGTGCTGACAATACTTGGGAACCTGAAGAAAATTTAGATTGTCCAGAGTTAATTGAAGCATTTCTTAATTCTCAAAAAGCTGGTAAAGAAAAAGATGGTACAAAAAGAAAGTCTTTATCTGACAGTGAATCTGATGATAGCAAATCAAAGAAGAAAAGAGATGCCGTAAGTATATAATATTGCTCACAGAACTGGCTTTTTGTAAAGAGTTGATAGCTTGATTTTTTAAAATACTTTTCGGATATTTTAAAAGTTTTAGTACTATTAAAATATTTAAAAGACTAAGTGCTTAATATTTAGGACAAAGGAGATAGGCATGACTTAGCCTACTTTGTGTAAATATAGTGTTTATGCCACTGTAATGGTTGTGGTAGTGTTACTTTTTTGTAAGTTACTTACAAACTTTTTGGCCAATCCAATATAATTATTTCTATTTTATAGATGATCTAAATCACAAAGAGGTGAGCTTGCCTAGAGCCACACAGCTACAAAGTTAGAACCATTATTCTAATCAGCCTAGGCATCTGACTCCAGAGTCTGGGGTGTTGATGTAAAAGTCTGGGTAGGGAAAAGGGATTTGTTGATAAAGGCAGCTCTTAAACATTTTTGGTGTCCAGAAAATTATTGAGGATCCCAAAGAACTTTTGTTTATGTGGGTTATAGCTATAAATAACTAGTAGAAATTAAAGTATTTGTGTTTTCATTTAAGAAGGACAAAACCTATTTCATGTTCATAACTAGTGGTGAAAAATAAGAAAATGTGAGGGGTGGAGTTTTACATTTTTGCAAAACTTTTCCCTCTCTGGCTCTGTATTTGATTTGCTGTGCTATGTTCGTAGAGGCATGTCAAGACAGTCTAGAGTTATAGATACATGAAATGAGGGGAACCTTACAGATAAACAGACACCACCAAAAGGTCTCAGGGATTCCCAGTAATCTTCAGAACATACGTTGGGAATCACTGTTGTTTACTTATTTTACAAGGTTTCCTATGATTGCTTATAGTTAATCTTGCACTTGACAATTTTTATAATTATAAATTGATTAGCATTATCAGAAATAAAGGGATTGGTATGTTAACTTTCGATTCAGAATGTTTTAGACATCAGGATTTGTTTTTTCTGTTTTGTAAGGTTAATGAAAATTACAGTGTATTTTAGTACTAAATATGTGCTATGTTCTAATCATTAGTTTCACTACTGAAAGGTTTTTATTTAAAAAGTATATATCATGAAGGCAAATTGGAAGTTAACATTGTTTGCTATATGGAAACATTTATGTAAATAATCATTTAACCTCTCTTATTAAACAGGCTGATAAACCAAGAGGCTTTGCCAGAGGTCTTGATCCTGAACGAATAATTGGTGCCACAGACAGCAGTGGAGAATTAATGTTTCTCATGAAATGGTAACTGTGTGGATGATTGCTGTTATATTTATGAAGTATGAACGATGGGCATGTTTTAAATTTTGTGAGGCTTTATCTAGGAAAGATTTTATAGTTTCCATCATTAGATAGAGGGTAATTATCTGATTAAAGGATGATTCTACTTTTGCTAATGATATTTCAAAGCAAAGATTGGCAAACTGGCCTGTTTATAAAATGAAATTTTATTGGAACCCTGACCCAAGTACCCTCTTAAAGCATTAAATAACTGATTAGATTATGATTTCTGAAATGAACAATTCTTATTTGACAAAAAAGGTTTAGACTTTTAACTGAAATTTTTTTCCCCCCCTCACAACAGGAAAGATTCAGATGAGGCAGATTTGGTGCTGGCAAAAGAGGCAAATATGAAGTGTCCTCAAATTGTAATTGCTTTTTACGAAGAGAGACTAACTTGGCATTCTTGTCCAGAAGATGAAGCCCAATAATTGTTTGCATTGCTTTTTATATATATTTATATATATAAAAACCTGGGTCTTGGATTTTTTGATTTATTAGCGTGAAGAAATAACTACATTCTAATAAAAATCAAGTTTGATATGTTTGTTTTAAAGTAGTACTGGGGGCGTTGTTGTGGGGGGTTGCATCTATAGCACTGGTTGCTTTGGAACAGAAGCTTTCTGTAGTTGCTTCCTTTATCAGAAAACATTTGATACCATGGTATATTCTTTTCTCTGCATTAGAGAACAGCTTTTCTAAATGTTGGGGTCAACTTCCATTGTTGTTAGTCAGAATTTTTGTTTAAGTCATATATACTTAAGGATCATTGTGGGTTTTTTGTTTATTTGGTGGGAGATGGTTGGTGTGTATACATATGTAAATGGTTTTCTTTTTCTTTCTTTTTTTTTTTTTTTTAAACCAACAGAAAAACAGCATTTCACAACCATAGATAAGCTTATGCTTCTGGGCTGCCGTCATTTTCAGCAATCTAAGAAATAAATCATTTCAAGTTAAATTGAAATTTTTCCTGAAGCTTTAACCTTTGAAATTAAATAGATAATTTGTAATTAATTGGGCAACTTAAATATAATGTAAGCAGTTTAAATTGGACAATTTAAAAGCAGCCATATCAGAATCCGTGGCCATATCTACAATTATAAAGGCAAGTTTATTTGCAAAACCCCTGAAAGGAAAATTTTATCACTACCAACAACTTCCTCTCCCAAATGAGAAAACTTAGGCAAACCCTGGTATATTTTAATTAGGCAGGCAAGACTTATTTAAAGGTTTCACTTAGCAAGCCATTCTTTTACAAAAGTTAACATTCTTGTGTTATATTGACTGAAAGGTTATGATCATGGAATGTGTAAGACTATTCATGGAAGCCTAATCAGATCATTAGAAACCTTGGCAATTTAAACCTGCTGAAATGAACGGTGAACAAACTTTTGTAATCTAAAGTCTTGACCTGCATGTTGTATTCCAGCTCATTCCTTACATGTAGGCTCAGTCTCAGTATTTGGGTTACTGGTTCAGTAGAAGCCAGGAAAAACAATGACTTTGTAGTAAACAGAATGTTATCCAACTGTATATTGTTTACTTTATTGTAAATACTGGTAAACAGTGGTCAATAAATAGTTTTATATTGCTTTATGTGGTTAGCCTCTTTACCTGATTATCTGTTTGTAGTGGGAGTGGAAACACCCATAGACATGTTTCCACAAAATGTTTTCCTGTGGGGAGAGAAAGATGAGTTTAATGTCGACTTTTGGTACTTAAAATCTATTTGCTACAACTGCCATCCAAGAACCATCGTACAGGACCAGTCCTGTAGTGCTCCATCTGTTTTTGCTGATTTCCAAGATCTGCACAGATCTTGGAAAGAAAAGGAGATCATCTCACGATACATAGAAACACTGAGTTACCGTGTTGTATTCTTGAAACTAACAATGTTTGTGCCAGTTATACCTCAATTTTAAGAAAAATAATTATACCTATGCTAATATTTATACCTTTTATCCTAACAGACACCTACACTACTCTCAATAATGGGTTCTTAGATGATACAGACCTTCTGTCCATATCAAATTTAATGATCTCACCTTCAACTTTAGTAAGAGCATTTCTGTAAACAATTTTATTAACACTCTTCATGTTGTATTAGTTTCTTATTGGTGCTGTACAAAAAAATGCTACCACCTTAATTGCTTAAAACAACAAATTTACTATTTTAACAGTTCTGGGGGTCGGTAGTCTGAAATTGGTCTCACTGAACTAATCAAGGTAACAGGGCTGGTTCCTTTCAAGGAGGCTCCAATGGCAGAGTCTGTTTCTTAGAGGCTCTTCATTCCTTGGTTTCTTTCTGGCACTTTTCATCTTCAAAACTAGCAGTGTACCATAGTCTCTCAAGTTACTTTACCTCTCTGAGTCTCCATTCTTCATCTGTAAAATGGGTAAGTTCTGGGTTTGTGTAAAAAAAGTACAGACTTGACTGGTGTGGCTCAGTGGGTTGAGTGTTGTCCCATGAATCAAAAGGTCACCAGTTTAATTTCCAGTCAGGGCTGCAGGCCATATCTCCCTTTCGGGGTATGTAAGGTGTGTTTCTCACATGAATATTGGGTCCAGAAACCCCCTTTCAGTAAGGAGTTCCTTTTCTAGTAAGAATATTAACACTTAAGGTTTTTTTGCACATATTTTTCTCCCACTGTTTGTAGTTTGACATGATTTATGATTTAAATTTTCATTGAGTCATCTTTATAATCATCTTTAATCAGATTGTGTTGGATATTGTGATGAAGGGTTTTTTGTCATTGCTCTTAGAGGGGAAGGGGAGAGAGAAACTGCAAGAGAGAAGCATTAATGGGTTGCCTCCCATGTCCCCAGAGGAGGTATCAGACCCACAATCTAGGTATGTGTCTTAACTGGGAATTGAATACACAAACTTAGGTTGTGGGACAGAAGATGGAAAAATTGGCATGGGTGCTGCCGGTCACCACCAGAACCAATAAGCAGGGACAGGAATTAAATCTTTATGGGCACTTTACTCAGCTGTCCCACGATCTGAGAAGATGGCAGGTCATGTACCTTAAAAGACTATCTTGCATTTTATTTCAAACTGACCCTTTTTATAAGGAGAAAGTAAGTGTGGGTAAGGGGGTTGGAATTCAGGGAAAAATTTAATCAGATAAAAGCTGCTGTCCAACAATCATAGCATTCTTTCATGTGTTGAGCAGTGATTCTTTATCCATGCCGTGGGCAACGGGCTCAGTCTCACCCTGGAGCACAGCGGCTCAGACACCATCTTGATGGCTTGCAGTCCTCCTGGGGCACAAAGGTGGAACTGCTTGTGGTTTTTTGGAGTCAAGGTAGGTTATACCTTCAGGTCCTGAGACAATAACTTTTTACATGCAGTAATTACTAGAGTTATTAACTAATACTTCAACTCTCCACTCTGGCTGGTGTGGCTCTGTGGATTGATTGCCAGCCTGTGAACCGAAGGGTTGCTGGTTTGATTCCCAGTTAGGGCACTTACCTGGGTTGCAGGCCAGGTCCCCAGTAGGTGGCACATGAGAGGTAACTACATACTGATGGACACCCCACCCCCCCACCCCCCACCCCCGCTTTGATGAAGCCTGAGTCCTCAGTCTATGATAAGTCTCCGAGAATTCTTTGGCTATCTGCCGCCTCTGCCTGAGTTAAGCCTGAAAACAATGTGACAGGGTAGTGCACCTTGTGCTGGGAATGGCAGTTCCCGAGGATGATCAGGCATAAGAAAGAGTTCCTAAAAGTCCTGTGAAGCCTGCTTTGCTAAGAGTGTTTTCATTCATATGATAAGGGTTCGAGCAGGAAATGAGTATGTCTCCCAAAGTTTCTGCAACCCCCTTTCCTGACAGACACTGACTCAGACTAAGCCCTCAGATTTCTTAGAAATGTTACCTACTGTTTGATCCTTGCCACCCTGTATTCCTGTGTATTACAACCCAATAAAAGCACCTGGAGGAAGGGGCTCTTGCCCCTTCCCCTTTGAGGGATTGGCCACCTTTCCTCCCCAAGCGATCATGTCTTGGTAGTGTTACTTTCATCCATGGTGGATGGGGGGGGACTTAAGGGCAAAGTCACCCCCACAGGTTAGAAAACAGGGTTTTGCCCAATATGCGTTTGTAGAATAAAGTGGTTTGGGATATAAAATGAAGTCATGTGGAGGTTGGGGAGAAATGGAACCAGAATGACTCCAAGGTTTCATTTCATCATGGATGGATGAAAACTCCAGAAGAGGAAGAGCAACTTGAGGTGGGAGATAGTAAAGTGGCTCTGGAGACACAGATTGAGGTATTCCTTTGATTCCTTTGTTTACTACAGTTGACCCCTGAACAACACAGTTGGAACTGCGCAGGTCCATGTACACACAGGATTTTTTTTCTTTTCAGTAAATACTTGGACTGTTTTTAGTCTGTAGTTGAGGACCTGCAGAAGTCGATTGTACACATGATCTACACTGTTTTTATATAGGGGAGTTGACCATCCACAGATACGGGTATCCTTGGGGCAGAGGGTTAGTACTTAAATCAATCTGGTGAATACCAAGAAACAAGTTTTGGGGGAGTCAAAAGTTCTCTATGGATTTTTGACTGTATGGGGTTAGAAGAGTGTCAGTGCCCCAACCCCTCTGCTCAAGGGTCAGCTGTAATTAGAGTGTCTTCAGATACACCAAGGTTGCAAATTTTATCTCTGGTGAGGGCACATATGAGAATCAACCAGTGAATGCATAAATAAGCACAAGGTTACTCTCTCTCCACCCCCTCCTCTCTCTAAAAAATAATAAAAGCTGGCAGCACCCAAATCCCAAGTCTGCTTCTAAAGAGACATCTGCTGGGCAATTCACAAATCCTTTTAAGAGATCTGATTATCCTAGCTTGGGTCAGATGTCCTTCCTCAAAGTATCAACTGTGAACAGATGTGTGAAAAGTGTGATTGGATCAATCACGGAGTGCTTCCCAGAAAAAGGTAGGTGTTTTTTATAAACAAAATGTATAACTAGGGCAAAGAATTTCAGCCAGTTTAAAAATGCCTTCTTAACCTTTGTCCTTTACAGAAAACTAATGTGAATATTTTCAATGTCAGAACATCGTAGGACTTCCTACCAACTCCTTTTCTAGTGAAGATTTGAATTTGCCCTTTTTCTTAAATTTAAATATTAGTGAAAAGAAGTTGACTTGGGAGAGCATGACAAGAACATTGATATTTAAAGCTACTCTTGTAGTTCCATGAATGCATCATTTTCTTTTTCTTTTTTCCCCCTCTGTGCCATTGAGTGACAGCTGCCCCTGGCAACAGTCCCAGTGCCAGGATGCAATCAAGGGTTTTCTTTCACAACCAGCTACCAAGTCCTGGCCCCACTGTCTAGCACAATTTTCACTTTAAAAAAAGAAAACCATGGGCTCAACTTTTCATCCTAATTTGGAAGTTCTGCGTTTCAGCTTCTTAAAGGAAAAATGATACAGACACTAATGTTAAGGGACCTTTCATAGCAACCTTTTTTAAAAAATTGTATTTAAGGATCAAGCTCAGTGGTATCCTGTTCCCTGGTGCATTTATCAGATATTGATAACAACCTAATTTAATACTCAGAATTGTCGATCCTAGTACATTAAGCTAATACGTTTATTTAGTTTTTGGGAGACTATTTTCCTTTTATTATTTTTATTTTTTTAAAGGATTTTATTTATTTTTAGAGAGAGGGGAGGGAGAAAGAGTGGGAGAGAAACAGATGTGTACAAGAAACATCAACTCGTTGCCTCTCGCACGCCCCCAACTAGGGACCCGGCCTGCAACCCAGGCACATGCCTTGACTGGGAAGCAAACCCGTGACCCTTTGGTTTGAAGGCCGGCACTCAATCCATTAAGACACACCAGCCAGGGTTTTTTATTTACTTATTTAAAACTTTTCATTAATTGATTTGAGAGAGATTGATTTGTTATTCTACCCACTGATGCATTCATAGGGTGACCCCTCCATGTGCCCTAACCAGGGATTGAACCTGCAACCATGGTGCATGAGATGATGTTCCAAACAAATGAGCTACTCTGTCAGGCCAATTTATCCTAAATTACTGTTTTTTAATGTAAAAAAGACATAAAACATCATTCTTACAAAATTTAAGTTACAGTACTGTTAACTATTAAGCTAAGATTTTTAGAGCTCTAAAGCTACTTTTAGTTTCTCAAAGCTCCAAGCCACTTTGATGAGCAGGAGAAGAGAGTCAAGTGGAAAGAGAAACAAGGGGCAGACCCAGGGGAAAGTCTAGGTGAGAATGGGCCCTGGGAAATTCAAGAAGATAGATCTTAACATTCAGAATCCAAGCCACCACTTCACAAGGCCTTTTTGGTATTTCAGTAACTGGATACTTTGGGGTAGATCCCAAGATGGACTCGCTTTAAAGTGAATTCATCCTTCTAGCAAATAGTGTCACAATGAGGTTCCTGTTATACCTTCTCACTTCTCACGTCTCTTTGTTTAGCTTTCATGGGTATTTGATTCCTCTGCACCAGGAAAACTTTCTGAGTAATGGAAACTCATTTCTGATGTGCTGAAAAAGATAAAGGTTTGAACATTTTGAGAGGGAATGCTGTTGTTTTTCTTGCAGTTTGTTAGCCAGCTCACAGAGCTGTGCTCAGCACCCTTCCAGCACCAGAGCATTCCATCTACTAGGAGCAGATTCTTAAATCCCACTTCTCACTTGTATTACCATAAATAAATAGGATACTCACCACTCTACAAAATAGGCAGTGGTTAAGCACAAAGCTGGAGAAGAGAACTCCAGCTTTTGCTTTCTCTTCTAAAATGCAAGCGTGGGAGCCAGTAATTGACTTTTTCATTGGTGGATCCTACCACCACCAAGAGGACAGGGTATCAATTTGAGGGGAAGGAGGGCTCTGGATTTAAGTTTGGGCTTCAAGCATAGCATTTCTACCATTCAAAATCTCAAAAAGACCCTGACTGGTGTGGTTTAGTGGGTTGAACATTGTCCTACAAACCAAAAAGTCCCCGTTTGATTCCAGTCAGAGCACGTGCCTAGGTTGGGGACCAGGTAGGTCTCCAGCAGGCATTCTGAGAGGCAAACTGATTGATGTTTCTCTCCCTCTCTCCCTCCCTTTAAAAATAAATATATAAAATCTTAAAAAGAAAACTCAAAGGATCTGCCAAATGAAGAGAAAACCCCTAAAATAAAGCAAGCTCAGTGTACAGATGACACAAAGGCTGGAAAGGGCGACATAGACCCCGTGTTCATCACTGTTGGCTAAACTGTTGGTAATTTCTCCCGTTCTCACTTGTCTAACTAAAAACATGAGGATTTGTCTTCAGTAGCAAATACGCATTCCTCTTTATCACATACAGTCCAAGAAAAGTGGACCGGATTGGTCCTATTTTTGCTATTTTAACTTGAAAAGTTGGAGGAAGGCAAAAAGGTGAGAAGAATTCAGAGATTATGCATACATGTTCATTTTCAGGGATGAATGAAATCCATGCTGGAATTAGTATTGTTCCTTCCAACAAACAGACTCAAATTATTATAAAATAAGCAGCCAGCCAAAAGAGAGAATATGCCCCCATTTAAGAGCCATCCCTCTAGTTGTACAAACCTGTAAATACACCTAAAGTCATTGAATTGTACATTTTAAATGGGTGAATTGTATAATATGTAAACTACATCTCAATAAAACTTTAAAACAAAGAAAGCACTCACTCTCCCTGAAGCATGCCTGCGCCTCTTCCTCCCCCCTCTTCCCTCTCAGGCCTGCATCTCCTGAACTCTAGGGCCCATGACAAGCCAAGCTGGGCAGCAATGGGCAGCAACCCCTACCCCAAGCTACCCACTCATCCTGTCTCCAAGGCTCCCTTTTCTCCGACTTTTCAGTGAGCTAAGGCAGACCCGCCTCAGCGCATTTATTTATTTTAATTTCTTTTAGGATTTTAGTGAGGGAGGAGAGAGACAGACAGACACACAGACATTGATTTGTTTTTCACCTATTTATGCATTCATTGGTTGGTTCTTGTATTTGCCCTGACTAGGGATCAAACTGGCAACCTTGGCATGTCTGGATGACATGCTAACCAACTGAGCTTCCTGGCCACGGCCTCTCATTACTTTTCTAAGGATTTCTAGAGAACCAAAGCAGCCCTGCCTGGGCTCTCTCCTGTTGCTTCTCCAACCCTAAGCCCTTGTTTCACTGTCCCTAGCTTGAATAAATGTGCTCTCAAAAAAAAAAAAGGAAAGAGAAAAGGAGACAAAAAAAGCTGGGGCATGAAAAGGCTCTTAGCTGAAAAAAAAAACTTAAAAGTCATTCCTCTTATTTTTATCTGTCATAAACTTGGATTTGATCAAGCTCTCTTTTGCTGTCACCTCCTTGGAACTTTCCCTCCTACTCTTGCCTCTATGTCTTCCCTTCCTCACACTTGGATGGTGCCACATCTATAAAACAGTCATGACATTATCCCTTTCACGGAGTTAACAGGATGATTACGAAAGTCTTTGGCTCACATGACCTGCCCTGGGTAAACACCCGAATCTTGGCACGTGCTCCCCTGCATAGCGCTGAGCCGGGCACGACAGACATTCTGACCGTCGGGCAGACTTTGCAGCCAGCTACAGGGGAAGTGAGTGTGTGCCGCCTGCTGGCTCACACCGCAGAGGGTCCTGGCAGCTACGTGTGCGTGCTGGCAGGAGGGCTCAGTTCCCTTTCACCTCTCAGCTGCATCCTTGGCTACTGACGGATTCATTGCCACAACCACTGGGTTAAGTCCTTCGGGGCTCCCTTTAGATTGTTCTGAACTTCTTGGGGTTGTAGTGATTTCCTAAAGACTGGACACCCAAATGCCAGTCAAGAGAGATAAAAGGATGAAATGTACTTTCCAAACAATTCCTGAACTTGGGTCGATTTTCCAGGTTTTTAACAGAAAGTAAAAACAACAAACAACACTTTTTACTATTTGTTGACTGACTGATGTTCCCTTTTTTCTCCTTGCCTCCAGAAAACAAATTCCAAAATCAAAGTGCAGGCCCTGGCCAAGTAGCTCAGTTGGTTATGGCGTTGTCCTGATACACCGAGGTTGTGGGTTTGATCCCCTTCACAGCACATACAAGAATCAATCAATGAATGCATAAATAAGTGGAACAACAAATCATTGTTTAACTAGCTCTCTCTTCCTCCTCTCTCCCAAATAAATTTTAAAAAATTCATAATCAAAGTGCAAAGAAAACCTCTAAAGTAAGTCACTATGACAAGTTGATGAGTTTTTAGAATAATTTTTCTTAATATGTCAAGCTATTATTACCAACTTGTTCCTGTGTGGCAACAAACCAGTGGTTTAATTCTCAAACACAAGAAACTAATTTTTTAGGAGAAAGACTCTAGTTAAAAGATTATAAAATTTAAAAAAACATTTTATTTATTTTTAGAGAGAAGGGAAGGGAGGGAGAAGGAGAGGGAGAGAAAGGTCCATGTGTGATTGCCTGTCATGTGCCCCCTACTGGGGTCCCGACCCACAACCCAGGCTTGTGCCTGACTGGGAGTCGAAGCAGTGACCCTTCGGTTCACCAACCAGCGCTCAGTCCAGAGTCATACCAGCCAGGGTGACTTTTTTTTTTAAATTGTTTTTCAAGTACAGTTGTCTCCATTTTCCCGCCACCACTTTCGCCTGCCCCACCCACTCCTACCTCCCACCCTCCATCCTTCCCCTCACTGGTGGTTGGTCCATTTCTTACTCTCAACCATAGACACATCCAAACCTGTAGAGACTTTTTATAAGAGTCTGTTTAAGCCAAACTGATGACACATGCCAGGAAGCAAGATCTTAGGTGCTCCCAAGAGTAACAGTTTTGTAGGTTCTCTGAAGCACTTGAAATTAAGAAGGAAACGTAAGGAAGGTTACATGGGGGTGGGAGAAAGCAAGGTGAGGATTGGATACTGGGATAGTTAACAAGATTGTGTGTTTACTTGAGGGTACGTACTTTGGATTTTACTGAAAAGGTGTGTTCACCTAGATGTACAGAAACAATGGACAGAGCTTGCTTCAGGCAAAGGTAAATGAAAAGGTTACATGCCTTGGGCATGAGCTGCCCAGTTAGGAATTTATGATCAGATCACCCTGTGAGGTTACTTTCCCCAGAGGCCTTTTTTTCCATCCACTTCTTTCTGCCTCCAATTACTCTCTGCCTACTAATTTACATGTTCACCTAAAAATAAATGTGTGAGCTAGTTTCCTGTATCTACCCCATCATACTTCTCACGGTATTTTAATTGCTGCTTCATTTGCCTGTCTTCCTCTGACAAACTCCCAGGGGACGGGAACTGTGTCTTGTTCACCGTTTGAACCTCTGGGCACAGAGATATGAGTAAAATCTCAACCAGACACCTGTTCAAGCACCACACACATCCACGTGCTCCCAGAGCCTGAAGACTCTTTCCACCTCATTCTTTGCAACTGGCCAAAAATTCAACTCACTTCACACAAATCAGACACTTCCAGCACTAGACAGAAGCAGTTTATATGTCTACATATATTATTTCAACTAATACTTCTAATATCACAGTACATCTATATCACAGTGCCACCCTATCATAGCAACAAAGCAAACACTGGTCTACTTATTCATTGACCCCATATCAATCATTCAAAGCCCATTTGTTCCTACATGCAGTATTTTGTTGTTGAGGAAGACTCATCTTCTCTAAACCTGGGATGGATGCCCCAAAAGAAAAAGAAATCCACTCTTCAAAACGGACTTGGAGGAAGGACAAATTGCCTGGATTTACAATATTTTTAAATTGTGGGTTAACTAATAGAAGCTTTTTATTTAGGCATAGGCAAATTTAAGAGTACATTTTATAACTACATGCCTATATGCATGCAAATGCCCCCAATGGTACCTGTATTTCTCCTCCAGTACACACTGGGGTATATAAATTTGTACCCACAGTGGAACAAAGACTCTAAAGAAAGATGTCATAGTCATTAAAATAGAGTTGGAACCCTTTAGGGGAAGAAAAGCATTTAACATAAAAACACACAGCAGTAATTTTTTCCCCAGGTGAAAGCACAAACACGGTCTCCACTATCACAAAGTATGCAGTCAAGTTTCCCACATTTGGGGAAATTGCAGGGATCTGTGCACCCAGAGTGCAGTAGGTGAGCCTTGCCCTTGGAAAACCACCTTTGTGATTATGGTGTCTACCCTGCCAGGTAAGTATCACACACCAGTAAACTTATAATAAGAACTGGTGGAATTTTATGTAAGGTTAGTTACTTCAACAGGGAAATAGAGACCTATAATTAAGTAACTAATACCAACAGTGCCTTGTATACAATGCTTAGAGGTCAGATAAGCACAACAGAGAATATAGCAAAATTAAATGCCAAGAGAGCAAGGAAATTTATACTCCTAGCCACATATGCCTCTACAAACCGGCTTGGCCAACCATGGGTAAGTTTATAATTCCCAGAAGTGAGTAGACATTCATTGTTTAAAAATGAAACTGTGGCCCTGGCTGGTGTGGCTCAGTGGATTGAGCACCAGCCTGCAAACCAGAAGACCGCCTGTTTGATTCCCAGTCAGGGCACATGCCTGGATTGCAGGCCAGGTTCCCAGTAGGGGGCGCTCTAGGAGCAATCACATATTAATGTTTTTGTCCCTCTCTTCCTCCCTCCCTTCCCCTCTCTCTTAGATGCTGTGATAGCCACTTCTAAGAGAGCCCCCAAGGACTGCCTTCGGGCATTTGTGCCCTTAGGTAGTTCTCTCCCACACTGTATCAGCCTTGGCCTGTGTATCTGAAAGCATACAGTAGAAACAATGGTATGTTGCCTCCAAGACAGGTTATAAAAGACTGCTTTCATGGCTGGGGGAAGGTAAAACCACCATAACAAGCCCCTGTCCTGGTGCCTGCTCCTGGGAAGCACTTGACAAACATTCGCAGCTTGGGTGCTTTTCCTGTAGTAGTTAGCGTTCCGGAGGCCTGAAGTCCTGGGTTTTGATCTCTGTTGTCCCACAACCCAGCTGAGAGATCTTGTCAACTTTAATCTGTGGCTTCTTCAATGTAATCATCTGTAAGTTAGACACCTTGTTGTTTCCAGAATATATGATGCTCTGAGAAGGACATGAGAACTTGCATGCAGAAAGATTCTGCATATAGCTCTTCAATAGCATTACCTGGATCGAGGGCACTAGTCTGAACACTGAGGGTTCTCACCAGGTCATCAGTTTAAACCCTCTTCAAAATGGGCTCAGAGGACCTCAAGACAGTGAATTAGTGACAGAACTACGATGAGAATTCAGGCCAGGGCTTTGTGTCACCTCCAACTTTGACCTTCACCCCCCAGACATCTCCTCTCACATGCATGTAATTGAAAACACTGTGGAGACCATTGTCCAATTTTGTTTCACTGACTTAATTTCTCTTGAAAAAGAACTACTTTGTCACAGAGACGACGCAATTCTGTTTTGTTGTCACGCACATTGAAGCGGACTTTGTGTCAACCGTCCATGCCCATGACAGCAAGGTTCTTGTGCCTACTTCCGCCCTCTCTGTGGGGACGAAAACACAAGCATAATTAAGAGAAAATTCTTCAGAAAACTGGATTTAATACAGAGTCAGAAAGATGAGATTGGTAAAGATGAGATTGGCAAAGATAAGCTATTAGTTTAAACACTTCCATACTGAGAATGAAGTGGGAACTTAGCATTTAGAGTGTGTTATTCAAAGCAAAGCAGGAAAAGTGGTCAGAAGCATTCCTGATAGAACTATTTCTTTCAGTTCCAAAGTGAGATTCTTATGATTCTTACTCTAAAAAGTAAAAGAAATGCAAAAAAGAAACCCCTAAAAATTCACTATATGAATCTCTTGACATATTTTAATCTTTTTCGTGCATGTTTTAAAGTCTTAGAATCAATCATATTAGATGCAAAATCGGGTGTGTAAGAATTATAACTTTTTAAATTCGTCTTATAATGGGAGTTAGTATATTTTCAAGTCCCCTTCCATCTAGTAGAAATTAATCTCAGCCAATTAAACGTCACTATCTTCGCTTGCCCAGGGTCCTGGTGAGGTGGGGGTGGGGGGAGGGGAAGGAAAGCTAGGGTCTGTCTGAGCTCATTTTCATCTGTTCACAGTACCTTCTTCACCTGTAAATCTTAAAAATACTTTTCCACTGAGATAATGATTAGCACATACTGAACAGGAGAGAGCAAATGGCTCTAGGAAAAGGGAGGGATGCTTTCTTAATACTCAAAAATATAATCACATTTTTCTGGCTGCATATTCCATCATATGGGTATTGCAATTTATTTGACTACCTTCTATTATTAGGCATTTTAATGGGAATTATTTGCTTCCTTTGTGTAAATTTCTTTAAGTGAGGTCGGTGCATTGTGTGGTAGGCACATTTTCAAGAATTGTGAAAACTAATGTCAAATTATTCTTGTAAAGATTTCAGAAATTTACACAACTATCACCCATAGGAATTCCTATTTATTTGTGAATTCCACACAAAATGGTTGTTTTTTTTCAAAATGTAAATGAATCATAAAATTGATATATATTAATTATTTAAAAATTAAGCAGTACCAAAGTCCAATCGGTAGAAAGTGAAAACTCTACTTCTTCCAACTCTACTCTTCACTGTTTTTGTAAATATTTTTCCAAGATATTTTCAGATAGTAAGATAGAGATAGATGATAGATGGACAAAGAATGGGGGGGAGATACATATATATATATATATTTTTTTTTAAAGATTTTATTTATTTATCTCTAGAGGGGAAAGGAAGGAGAGAGGGAGAGAACTGGCCTGCAACCCAGGCATGTGCCCTGACTGGGAATCGAACCGTGGTTGCTTGGTTCCCAGGCCCGCGCTCAATCCACTGAGCTACACCAGCCAGGGCTACATATATATTAATGTATATATATTGTATAGTGTAACAGATACATTTAAAAAAATAAAAAAATAGGAACATACACAGTTTTATAACTTTTTAAGCCTAATATAAACAGTTATTAATTCAATAAATACTTTTATTGAATGTGTATGATGTGTCAAACATTGTTTTATATAATAGGTATTTTTCATGTCAATAAATATCAATCCATGTAATCATTTTAATGGGTGTACAGTATTCCATTATGGAATACACCATAAGTAGCTAACCATTCCTCTATTATTATCATTTAAAGCTACATTTGGTCCTGGCTGGTATGGCCCAGTCGGTGGAAGCATTGTTCCAACCAAAGGGCTGCAGGTTCAATTCCCAGTCAGGGCACACACATAGGTTGAGAGTTCAGACCCTGGTCCGGTTGTGTATGGGAGGCAACCAATTGATCCTTCTCTCTCCTCTTGATGTTTCTCTCACCTTCCTTTCTTCCTCCCTCTCTCCTTAAAAACAATGAAAAAAAATGTCCTTGGGAGGATAAAGGCACATTTAATCTTCATACAACCATCTTTGTATACCTGGATTATTTTCTCCATGCCCCAGATCATTTTTTTAAAGGACTACTATTTAAAAAAGATTTCAGTTATTTTTGGAGCGAGGAGAAGGAACGAAGAAAGAGACGGAGCGAAACACTGGCGTGAGAAAGAAACATTGATCGGTTGCTTCTTGTCCCCACGTTGACCAGGGGTCCAGCCGAAACCCAGGCATGTGCCCTGACTGAAATCAAACCAGCGACCTTTCAGTTTGCCAGATGGCACCCAACAACCTGAGCAACGCCAGCCAGAGCAGGGATTATTTTCTTACGCTAGATTTCCAAAAGGGGAAATGCTGAGGCAAAAGGCGTGCAGGTTACACATGTTAATAGGTATTCCTAGGTTTATCTAAAGGAAAACGGTTAGCTTGACCAATAGGGTATGAGAATTCTTGTTTCTCTTGGTTTTTTTTTTAATTCTATTTTTTAAGATTTTATTTATTTATTTTTAGAGGGAGGGGAAGGAAGGGAGAAAGAGAGGGAGAGATCGAGAAACATTGGTTGCCTCTCACACACCCACACCTGGGGGCCTGGCCTGCAATTCAGGCATGTGCCCTGACTGGGAATCAAACCAGCAGCCTTTCAGTTTGCAGGCTGACACTCAATCCACTGAGCCACACCAGACAGGGTTCTCTTTGTTTGTTTAATCTGTGCCAATCAGATAGCCAAACAAACAAAAGAAACCCTTCAATTTGTCATTTTGTTTTTGTTTTAATTAGTACTTAATTCTATATGCAGTTGAGCAACAAAACTTTTGAGCAGGGAAGGACCTGGCTCATCCACCTGCGGGCTGGAGTCCAGGGAGGGACCCAGAGACAGGGGCCCCAGTGAGAAGTGCTCAGGTCCGCAGCAGGCTGGGCAGGTGGGACTGTGGCATTCAGGGTAGTCCAAGTCCAAGTCCAGTCAGGTCATCTGGATGAGTCTCAGGGCAGTGTGGTCTGATGTGATTGTAACACAGAAAGGTCGAATTTAATCATTTATGCTGTGCTCTAAGGAAGAATTAATGAAAAGGGGGTGCAATAGATGCATTTGGGTGAATTCATGCAGTTCTGTGGAGGGAGGGGAACCTGGCCCTCATCCTAATGAGTGAATGAGTGATCTGCACCAGTGAACCTTGGGGTGGAGCTGAACAGTTCATTTGAATCTACCATGACCTGGATTTTCTTTCTTTCTTTTTTTTAAAAAAAGATTTTATTTATTTATCTCTAGGGGGGAAGGGAAGGAGAGAGGGAGAGAAATATCGATGTATGGTTGCCTCTTGTGCATCCTGCACTGGGACCTGGCCTGCAACCCAGGCATGTGCCCTGACTGGGAATCGAACCAAGGTTCTTTGGTTCTCGGGCCCGTGTTCAATCCACTGAGCTACACCAGCCAGGGCCTTGGATTTTCTTTGAATTCAGCCAAATAATTTTTCCCCCTGAAGAAAATCATGCTCATGGGAAGGAAGGGGAAAGGGAGTGGGAAAGGAGAAGGAGAAGGAAAAAGATCCTAGTGTTTACACTGAAAAGCAAGTGTCCTTGTCTTAAGACTACCAGTTCTTCCCTCTCCGGGTCTAATAATACTAATAATAGCTCACATTTTTTTTAGCTGTTGCCGTGTCCCAGAAACTCAATTTCCTATGTGGATTAACTCATTCACAGCCCCCCCCACACCTCTCTGAATATGTTCTGTATATGATTCTCATTTTCAAATAAGAACATTGTATCATAGATAAGTTCAATGAGTTGCCCAAGTTTG